ACYGAAGTAGTGTAAATGATAGCATTAATTATTGTTATAATAAAAGTCAATGGCTGAGACTCAACTGATATTAAGCAGTGTTACTTGATTAATTTCTTTCYTTTGTGCATTTGTCTCATTTGCATTTTAAAATTACAATTCCRAAAGAGGCAATATATGTCACTGTAGGGCATCATTAAAAGATTTRTTTTCAGGTTTTGGGCAGCAGGAGAAAACTAAGCATTCTTACCAGCAGGACAGGGAATCTCAGCTGTATTGAAACAATGTGAGCTGAAGCTTCTTGAGAAGGCAAAAGTGCTGCTAATGTYTGATGAAACATAGAAGGCTTGGTGGCTGTTAGAGGAATTATGGTCTTTTTAGGACTGTCCAGTAAACAGTTTTTAATGTGTTACGTAGGCATTATAATTCCCAAAATAGGTTATCCCSAGGCAGTGTATTTATGAACAGCCTATGAATATGTCACAAGCTGTGGCTGAGTAAGGCTTTCAAGTATCGTGGTATATCACTCTAAGTTCACATTTTCTGTCCTCACAGCTGAGAGTAAAGAAACCCTCAGAACTCTGTAAATCTTGTCAAAGGAAGATGAGGATTTGGCCTGATGACATCTAATTTCATGAAAAGAATTAAGTTGTTAATTTGCTAAATTTTACTCATACCACCTGAAGCACATAAGCTGCTCGTTTCAATTTGGTGATGTCCAGTCTGTCAGACCAAGTGAAATGTGTGTATTTTGCCCTCATTAATTAAAAAAAAAAAATTATAATAATATTTACAATATATGAACAAGAGACTGCCTTTTTAAAGTAAGGAAGTTTCCAGKTAGAAAGGACTTCATGAGATGCCTTCAGATTACATAGGGAGAGAGATGAATTATGTGAACAACCTTGGATGGGATGTAGCCTGGCCCATGCCAGCGTTTTTAGACACCCAGGGAGATCAGTCTGTCATACAGGATAGGACAATATCTAAAGGACAATATCTAATGGAACCTCCCAGACGCTCAGCAGATGCAGCAGCTATGGAGGGGGGTCAGTCTGTTTAAGAACCACCAAGGAAAGCAGTTCAATTACAACACCTTACTTTAAACCTGTTGTGKGAGTTATAGATGTGACTCCTTAAGAATGTGACTCCTCATGCTGGATGCTAGATCTCTTTTTAAATAGGTTATTTTAAAAAACTTACTGCTTTTATTTTTTTWTTGCTTTTAGTTATTTTATAAGCTRCTTTATGTWGTAAGAACTCAAGAATRTGAGATAGGTTTTTCCTGTAAAAATAATACTCATATTCCARTGTAAAATCCAGAATTTAGCAAGGGACAATTTTAAAAAGAAACAGACTACAAGATTTTATTTGTTGACACTGTGTCAGTAGTCAGTGGGACATTCCGGCAGGTAGTTTGAATCAGTGACCCCATCTCCAATGAGTGGGTTTTTTGCCCGATTATCCATTAGCAAAAGGATCTGCTGTGTTTAATTGCAGATTTTTCTAGAATACTGTAGAAATATAACATAGCCTTTATGTTTTAAARTTTCTCTCAACATGCAGAATTATGCAGAAAATGTTAGAATTTATTTATCTTACCATCTTTCCACAATATTTCCGATTTGAGATATTCCTATCAGCAGTGTGAAGTCCCCTTCATTACAGCTGCATTTGTAATAATAGCGCTAGTTCTTGTTCACTGTTAATCATGTTATTATACAGAGAAATATATATATCACTTGAACAGAGAGGTCATTCATGGCTGACTGATGGGAAAGTCATGATTTCTCTTTGCTCTGGGATGTAAATATGTCACCAAATACTCCCTCGTGATCCTTTCTTCTGTCTRTTCCTTTCCAGGGGCCAGGTGACCTCTTCCACTGCATCGTTGTTTCAGACCATAAGGAGATTATGCTCTCAGGCATTTACATTTTTTTTGTTCAAAGCTTGAAAGTTGCCTTCTGAGCAAGGAGGAGAGAGAGTATTGTTAAACAACTTGGAAAAGTTTTGCAATACACCAAGAGCTTTCAGCTCTCTGACTGCTCTGTTTGGATGATGAGGTGGTGCATACTTTCTAGGAGTGGGAGGAAAGGGCTGAGGGAAAACTTGTGCAGTGCAGTGAGCTCCCCAACCTGCTCCAGAATGATAAAAGCTTGGGAATCAGGGCTGGATGGGTCCTGACTAGTTTAGTGGGCTGTGTGGGGGTGGAGAAAGCATCCATTTTTTYTCCACCCCCACACAGGAAGGAAAAAATAAAAAAATAAAAAAAAAAAAAACCTTACAATGCAGGAAAGGAGGAACGGTGGTGTTTCCATAGGCTTTGGGAAGGTTGCTGCAGTTTGAACTATCTTCCTCCCTCCTCTGCCTGTTTCCAGCAGGAGTGGCTGGCTTGTGCCCAAGCAGTGCCTTTGTGCACCTCGTTTGAGATCTCCCCACTCACTGTGAGGAGTGGCTTTAAACCCAACACTCCACAGCCCAGGGGCCAAGACTCATTTCCTGGCACTCTTATGTTTTGGGGTTCATTTAAATGGGGTCTCATCCAGSAAGGGAAATGTTTTGAACCCACTTAAGCTGTGCCTGGGCTCCTTTCCTTGCTACACAGAGCAACATGTTTGTTCCAACAGTATCCCTGGGGGAGGAAAGACACCACTGGCAGTTTCATAGGCATAGGGAGGGGAAAGCAAAATCATTAAGATCCGGTGACCTTAAGTGACTGTCACCASCTGGTAGGRGTGCTGTCTATCAGGAGCATGGAGGTGGTGGCATAAGGGAGACAGAGGTGAGCAGCTGTCACGAGGATGGTAACTGGGCACAGGCTAATCCTGGTGACAGCAGCCAAGGTGGCAGTGGAGGTGTGCCATGGCTTAGTCTTGGCTTGCAGAGCCAAAAGATYGGCATTGCTGCCACTTTCCCAAAACCTGAGATGAGCGCTCCAAAATGAGCACCTGACATTGCTGCTTCATCATTTAGAGCAGATGCTTCTTGGCAGCAGTGTCGTTAAGGTTGACAATAAATTCAGTGTGTATTACATATACAGGAAAATAGATGTAAACTGTAGCACTTCCAGGATTAAATGTCTTCATGGATTGTATTTTCTGCCTTGATTGAGGCCTGAAATATGCATATATATTTACYCACATTTCTAAAAATGTAAATAATAAATAGATAAGCCTTTTTTAAAACACTCAGGAAGAATTTAAGAAAGGCTTCTTCATTTTGTCAAATACTAGCCTTATTTTTTTCCAGAATACAAGTACAGATTTGCTGCAAGCRTACAGAATGTAATTGAATTCATGGTGTATTTGTGAGAGACTGCTTTATTAATTTCCATTTAAGACAAATGAAGTTGCTTTATTTAAAGTGACTCACTGTATTCTACACCCCATAAAGGACCTGTCAGGATGATTGTGAGAGACAGAGCTGGCAGGAGCAATGCATAGAAGTGCCCATTAAAAAGGTGTATGCAACTGTACAAAGAGAAAGAAATTAAATACAAAGCTGAAACTTTCTTTTCTGCTCTAAGACATCTTTCAGAMATGTTCCACAGGTTTTATTAAGGTATACAAAACTACTGAATTATCATACCTCGTATTATTCATTCAGAACAGCTTAATTAAAATTAATGTAATTGAGACAATATTCCCTCTGCTACCTATATCTGTACAGCATTATAAATGATGTTGGGGTAGTTTTACCCAAGCTACCACATTTCAAAAAGCTTTACAGCACCTCAGCTCACATGCCAGCAAGGAACTGTTTTGTCTTTCCCTACTTTTCATCATACTCTTTCTCTAAGAGTCTGTCAGGCTTAGAGGCAGCTTATTGAGCTAAATGGACCTTTATTTTGAGCCACTACATTTTTCTCCCCTAATGTTCTTTTAATATTTACATCATAGTTGATATTTTCTAAACACTTTCCCATCAGTAACTCCTTAGGCTCAGTGGGTTTCATCAYTAAATTAAATGCATTCAGCAGTGTTGTCAGGTGCTGAAACTGTTTGGCACAAGCAGTGTATTTCTGTTCTGGAAAACCCTTAAGTTACAATATGCCAAGGTATCTCTTGGGAATGATCCCTAGGCTGCACAGGAGTGCCTGTCTGTGCCCAGGAATTCATTGGGTGGGTAGGTGACAGAGCCAAGAGCCCACATCTGTGTTTTCAGTGGTGGGGTGGCTGCCCTGTAGCATACGAATATGTCCCCTGCCACTCCTCAGTTCCCAGCTGCTGGCAGTGCCCCTTGGGAACCGTGCTCTGTGCTGCACTTCTGTGTCTTTATCTCTGCAGGTTCCTGGGAGATTTTGCCGACCATGGTTAAACTATTCAGTGGGGACTTGTGCTGATGCCCTTATTTTCTTAAACACATGAGGACAGCTCTAGCAAAAGTTGAGCCAGACAATGAGTTCCCAACCAGGTGCCATTCCCCTRCCAGAGCCCACCAGCTCCCCACTGTTCAGCACGTGGGGACCTGGGAGCTCACCTGGCTGGCTGAGCTGGCCTCTCTCCTGGAAGGCTCTGCATCTCTGGGCATGGCTGGGGCCTGCTGAGACAGAAAGCACGGAACTGTAATTGTTTTTTTTTTAATACCTTTTCTCTTTTAGCAGTAGCTGAGAGTCACCTGTTTTTTCCTGGGCAGAGCTCTTYCTTTGGAGCTGCCTGCACACAGCCTGGCTGGTGCATCAGGCAAGCAAGGAGTTTCAGGGTCTTATCTCCCTCACAGTGCCTTCAGTGTGAAAAGCTCTGYGGTATTTTCAGACACACTGCTGCAGTGCCTGATGTTGTCCTTTCAAGTGCTCTTTAGTTCAGTGACTTTGAACAAAAGGAAGTAACACTGTAGGACTTAATGTTTTCTTTTTGGATGGTTGATTGTCTCAGTGAAGTTTCTAACATAACTTTTTTTCTTCCCTCTGTTCTTTTAACTAACGAGTATTATCTTGTAGTTCAACATAAAAATGTTTTTGTGAGTTTTGTTATTTCTAATGTGCAGAGATGATCTTWTATTCTCCTCTTGCCCCCCTACAGCTGACCTGAACAACGTCAGGTTCTCGGCATACAGGACTGCCATGAAACTCCGCAGGCTGCAGAAAGCTCTCTGCTGTAAGTATCTGCCAGTGCCTCACCCGCTGCTGGGACGGCTCCATGGCCAGCACACGAGTTTATTCACAGCTTTCAGAAGCAGCAAAACACTCCCATACCTACCCCCAGCTCTGCCTGGTGCATGGAAACATCTCACCTAAAAGGCCTTCCGCTGCCACCAGTTTGCATGGTCATGACAAAACCGAAGTGCTGGGTGGTCTGCAGGTCTGTCCCTTGTAAGGCAGAGCAGCTGTTCAGAAATAAAACTGAACATATTGAGCATATTTAAAGAGCTAAAGAGTCTGCACACTCTTTAGCTGGGTATTTTCACTGTGCCATGTCACTGCCGTGTCCTGTGTCCGCCACAGCTTCCCAGCCGAAAGGAACACAGTTGTAGTKTGTGGGGAACAGTGAGAGCTCGGGTGAAATAATACCTTCAGAGCTGGAGTTGCTAATGGTTTGTTAAGTTGAATCTTGAACCCTGAGGGGTTATTGCCTTTAAATGAGATCATCACARTAAACATTTAGCTTCATTTTTTCCTCAGCTTTCAGTTGTGTTGAGAGGTCTCTCATCAGCTGTACATTAGTGATGTGCATGTTCTGACATTTTAGTTCTCCCAACTGCTGTATGTTATTCTACTTTTCCCTGGAATTACGTTTCTTTTTCAGCTTATTGTAACCTGATAGCTAAATAATTTGCYCAGAGTTTTCTTGATGGGCCAGTCAGTTGCCAAAGCAAGCAGTTAATTAGGCAGTCCAATTGGGAGGATTATTAAAATGTTTTARCATTCACTATTTGGCATTTAATTACAGGGTTAAATTTCTGACACAGTTGAAAATGTCTCAACTGTTGATTTATCTCAAGTTGGATTTGTGCTCACATGCTTTCTGGAACTGTGTCAAACCTTGGTATTTTTGAGCATGTTTACTTTTAGGCTTATAAGCATGGATGAATTCCACTAAAGTGTGCAGAYTTAATGTCTAAATGTACAAAAAATAGGGGAAAAAAAGGAAAAAATAAACAACAAATGAAAAGTCTTGTAACATAAYGAAAGGTTTTAACATGGATGCAGTGACAGAAGGAATTAAGATGATTAGAAATATAAACATCTTTCCACAGTACAGCAGTTCTGCCACACTCACTGTGGAAACATGGTATAAAAAAACTGGAGTGATATGCAGTGAAAAGTATTCATAATCAGTTCAGTACTGAAGGAAGCAACATTTTTGGAATTAACTAGCTGTCAGTGTATAAGTTTAGCTTGTAACAGGTTTTTATGACTGAAAGAGGAAAATTTTGCATCCCATWTTATCTGTGTTAGAATCACAGAATATTCTGAATTGGGACAAACTCACAAGTGTCATCCAAGACCCACTCCTGGCCCTGGTCAGGACACCCAAGAATCACCCCATGTGCTTGAGAGCATTGTCTAAACGCTTCTTGAACTCTGCCAGGCTTTGTGATGTGAGCCCTGCCCTGGGGAGCTGTTCCAGTGCCCAGACACCCTCTGGGGGAAGAACCTTTTCCTGATACCCAACCCAAACCTCTCCTGACACATCCTCATCCGTTCCCTCAGTGCTGTCRCTGTCCCCCAGAGCAGAGATCAGTGCCTGCCCCTCCTCTCCCCTCACAAGGAAGCTGTGACTGCACTGAGGGCTCCCCTCAGTCTCCTCCAGGCTCAACAGCCCCAGTGCCCTCAGCCGCTCCTCACACGGCTTCCCCTCAACGCCTTCCCCATCCTCAGGGCCTCCTTTGGACACTCTGCAACAGCTCCATGGCATTTTTATATTGTGGCACCCAAAGCTGCCCCCAGCACTGGAGGTGAGGCCGCCCCAGCCCAGAGCAGAGCGGGACTTGATTTGTCAAGGCCTCTCTGCAGGGCCTCCCTGCCTTGTAGGGACTCGACAGCTCCTCCCAGTTTAGTATCAACTATGAACTTACCTACAATCCCAGTTCTGCATCCAAGTTGTTTATGAAGATGGTGAAGAGCACAGGGATGAGGATGGAGCCCGGTAGAACCCCCTGAGTGCCAGGTCACAGGTCTGACGTCACCCCATTCACTGTCACCCTCTGTGCCCAGCCCATGAGTCAGCTGCTCGCTCATCACACGGTGTGTTTATCCAGCTGTGGGCTGGACACTTTGTCCAGAAGGATCCTGRGAGAGACACTATTGAAAGCTTTACTGAAATCCAAAAAAGATTATGTGAACTGGCTTACCTTGGCCRGTGGGTTAYTGTGTCATAAAAGGAAATTAAATTTGTTGAGCAGTACTGTTCCCTCACAAACCTGTGCTGGCTGTGACTGATAAATTTGTGGTCTTTCCGGTATTTTTCAATAATTGATTCCTATTAAATTAAATAATTCTGGATTTATTTTGGACTTCTGTATTGGGTTTGTATGACCAGGTTTTGGTAGCAGGTGTCTCCAGGGGTGGTTTCTCTAAGAAACTGCTAGAAATTTACCCTGTGACAGAGCCAGTGGCAGCCAGCTCCTAGACAGACCTGCTGGCCAGGGCCAAGTCCATCAGTGGGAGTGCCTGTGGGGTAATGTTTTTGAGAAGAGTGCAGGAGAAAATCCGCTGCACAGCAGCAGCTGGGAARGAGGAGGGAAAATATGTGAGAGAAACAACTCTGCAGGCACCAGGGTCAGTGCAGAAGGAGGGGGAKGACATGCTCSAGGYGCCAGAGCAGAGATTCCTCTGCAGCATATGGAGGAGACCATGGTGAGGCAGCTGTGCCCCTGCTGCATAGAGCTGCACAGTGGAGCAAAGATCCTGCAGCCCGTGCAGGACGCCCTGCCAGAGCAGGTGGGTGCCTGCAGGAGGCTGTGACCCATGTGAAACCCACGCCAGAGCAGGCTCTTGGCAGGAATTGTGAACTCTTGGAGAGGAGCCTACGCTGGAGCAGGTTTGCTGGCAGCACTGTCTGTTCCTGAAGGACTGCATCCTGTGGGAGGGACCCACTCCGGAGCAGTTTGTGAAGAACTGCAGCCAGTAGGAAGAGCTTGCGTTGGAGTAGTTTGTAGAGGACTGTCTCCCGTGGGAGACTGCACACTGGAGCAGGGGAAGAGTGTGATGAATCCTCCCACTGATGAGGAAGCAGCAGCAGAAACAATATGTGATGAACTGACTGCATCCCCCATTCCCTGCAGCAGAGAGGTAGAGAATTTGGGAGTGAAGTTCACCCTGGGAAGAAGGGAGAGGCTGGGGGATGTGTTAAAAGATTTAAGATTTATTACTCATTATCCACCTCYGATTTGATTAATAATAAATTCAGTTGATTCTCCCAAGTTGGGTCTGTTTTGACTGTTACAGTAACTCGTGAGTGATCTCTCCCTATCCTTATCTCAACCCCTTGAGCATTTCAGTGTATTTTCCCTCCCCTGTCCAGCTGAGCAAGCTGAAGTCCGTTCATCTCTTGAAGTTACATTTAGGTAGATTGTCAGAGAATTGATGCTCTCAGAGAATTGATGCTCTCAGAGAAATGCAGTGGCACTTACACTGATTACTGTAGCACATTCTTCATACTTGTATCTAAGGAGAAGTATTTAAGGAATTTGGTTAGCAGGCTTTGTTCTTACAAATATTTTTGCCTGGAGACACCATCATTGTATTTGTGTATTCTATCATTTCAGTGTCGCTCGTGAACTCAGTTTAATTAGATTTTTTTTTAAACCCTCAACTCATTACAAAATTCTTTTTTTGCATTTTGGCAATAGTAGAGTTAGAGCACAGTGCTGGGTTTCAAGGCTCCTACACACAGCCAAAATCCCACTTGCAGTAGGTGCTGCTTTCAGCTCTTACTTTTCATTTCAGTTTTGAAATAGCAGGAATTTTTAGGTATATATATATATGTGTATCTATATCTGTATATATATATATATATATATATATATATATATATATATATATATATATATTTTTNATATATCTTCTTTTCTGCAAACTTCATAGAAAACAGCAATTTTGTCTACTGAGGAATACTCTAAAAATGTGTATTTAATAGAAGTCCTGCAGAAGTACAGGTACAGTCTATTTCTCAGTGGCAAGAATAGAAAAGCTTTAGAAAAGGAACTATACTTAAACTTYTGTTCTTTTCAGTTCATAAATCAGCCTAATGAACATTAAGAAACTAGGATATTAAACCTGATGAAGAATGTGGAAAATAGCARTCCTTAAGAAATAAGTACTTATGTGTTGTGTTATCTAGTGTGGCTCTATCATTTCAGCCTTCAAAATTACTGTGAGCATGCCACATGTAAATATTGCACCAGGTTTTTTTAAATGTGCAGTTTTCTTTTGATAATCACATCAAAGCGTGATGACTTTCWTGTTTTGCTACTTTTAAAGATCTGATCTTCAAGTGCAAACCACATCAGAATATAGTGATGTCAAATAAAATGAGATGTATTCACAAACTTTTCTTGGAAATGCAGCAAAAGAAAATAGTCAAGAACTTCTGTTAGGGGTCTTTAKTGCTCTTAATTTTATGCAGACTTGATTAAATACATATTTTTTAATGTGTCAGCCAACAGCAGCAGGTTACAGAGGAGATGATCTTGCATTCTGGGAGGACCATTTATATTTTTTATTACCAGCCATATGTTGAGTTTTCTCTAAGTTCTGTTTGTGACCTCAAGAGTGTACTTTCTCCTGCCTGCTAATTGTCACTTCTGTCCTTCAGCTGGTTACTTATTCCATGTTGTCTTTTATCCTTTTCCTGCAATCTGGCAGTGTCTAGTTAAAAACATCCTAACCTTTCCTCTATTGCCTTAGAGGCCAAAGAAATATTTATATAAATGACTTGGACTTCAAAATAAGCCAGAAGCCACTGTTCACACAGATTTTGGAGTCAGTTCTGGAATTTTAAATAGAACAGTATAAAAGAGTGACWGAGAACCCACTAGAAGTTCAAAGCWTAAAATGGTGGKGTTTATTTCAATTAAAACTTTTCAAATTACTCTATGGTGCCAAATACTCAGCTCTTCAATACATACCTGACTGTGGAGCTTGTCTTGTGAAAGTTGGTCATTTATGGGATGTCCATATCTGCTTTTAGGAAAAAAAACGTGCAGTTCCGTGTTCTGGGAGGGGACCCCACACACACATTTATTAACTCTTGGCAGAAAAGATGAAGGAGGATCTTAATGTGGTGAAGGCCAGAATCTTCTCCCACAAAATGAGGTTTCCTAAAGCAGAACATGTTGGCAAGCACTTTTTGCTTGTTAGGGGCTAATCGTGTGCTACAGACTTYGGGATAGGACAGGAGGTTGATGAAGAGTGGGCTGAAAGGCTTTTCARAATATGCTGCTTATTAATGGGAAAAGCTTTCAAAGAGTGGAATGACCCATGTTTAGCAGTAGCTGCATATATAATTACACTGCCACTCGGATGCCTGAGGGGCTCATTTAATTACTGTTGATTCATAGTCTCAGAAGAACTGAGAGTTCAGCCTAAAGCTTGGAGTTATAGGTGTTGTGAGGGCTCTGCTCTATTTTCAATTTGACCAATGAATTCTTAGAAGAAAAACATCTTTCTGRGACTCTCAGGAATGGTTCTGATGCTTTTGCAGGATATAACACTGACCTTAGAATAGCTGTATTTTTTATGCTAGTAGGTTCAACATAATATTCCAAAGTGTTTTATTTTAATAAATATATGCTGATGTGAAAAAAACTAAAACTCCAATAAAACCCTGCACAAAATYATAGAGTCTAAGTTAAATTTCTTGGTGTAATAACAGGGATAGCATTCCAAGGTTTCCTTATTCACTCCAGCACTAGGTACATTAGGCCGAGAGGATGAAATTTTCTGAAATGCTTAAGGGATTTAGTAGCAAAAGTAAGTCCCTATTGATTTCCAATGAAATGTGTACTCCYGAAATTCTTTTGGCAATTATGAAATCCCAGCGTCCTGCCAAGCAGCGTTGCAAAGCAGCCCTGTGGGCAGCTCAAGTATTTCTCATCTCCCACTAGGACATCAAAGGGGCAGTTTCATCCTGGGTAAAATAGGATACTCAAGTGTGAATTTGCCAAATGGGCCCTTAAACAGGATCAAGTTCTAAAAAAATTCTTGTATGGTGTTCTGTATTTAGCCTCTGCACATTATGGAGTTTTTTTTTGATGTTATGAAGAGATGTTGCTTGCCAGAACTCAAGAAAGCACATTTTTTTTATCCAAATGAGAGAAAAAACTCATCTTGCAGTTCAGTTAATTTTCCAGTTTTGTGAAGAATTTCCTGGATGATTTTGGGCAGTTAATTTTGGACCAGATGCTACTCCCTTGGGTCATATTGCATGGTGCTGCACTTTGTGGCTGTTCATGGTATGAGCAGGAGTAACAGCATCTGGGCTTTAACATCCCCATTGCTCACACCCTGGAAATTCACCGCAAGGAGATACAAAGGGTTTTCACATGGCAACTGGAAGATTGTCATCAAGCATCTCATTTTTCTGATTCCCTTTGTTGTTATTCCTGCCTTCCTTTGTAAAAAAACATCCCATAGTTTTGTGTCCCCCTAAGTGTGATGCTGCTTGGTGATATTAGTTTGCAGAGGTTAAGAGCTGAGAAATTGAAGCTCTCAGAGAATCTCTGGACATCTGAAGTTCAAAATGCAATGGACTTAAATAGGAACAAAAATTAAGTTTTTAAATGTCTGTAACAAAAAACTGATAAGTTTAAACATGTCTTAATATGTAATGCCACAGAGRTATTTATAAATATAAATGCTTTTCAGAATTAAAAATGAATACATTTAATTAATAAATATTGAAATAGGCTATTTAATGGTTCTGGACCCTTCTTTTCCCTGTCCTTACTAGAGGAAAAGTAACAGAGAGGTTAATCACAGTTCAGCTGTGATTTGTTTGCATATTCCTTGTGGAATATAGTTAAGATTGCTTGACTTATCTAAGAAATGGGCAACRCATCTCAGGAAAGCTGGTGACCTGTGCTATGGTGAGAGCACATTTGGTGRATGCAGTAATCAAATATTAGCCATTCTATCTGTAGGAATATAAAGCATGAAATGCATAATTTTTACTTGCATGCTAATTTATGTGTAATATTTCCATAGGACCCAAGAGCATAATAAGTATTTCACAGCTAAAATTGAAACAGATTCACACTGGTCTCTAAGGCCACAGCTGAATAACAGTGCCTCTGTAGGAGTTCTGAAACCAGTCTTGCATGTGACTTTCAGAAGACATTTTATGTCTTCTGGGTTGGCACATAAACCAAGTAAAGTGCTCTATTTACTTTTTGGATGTGGATAATACAACCACTCTTTCTCTTCAGTCTTTATGGTGGTGTATTTTTTTATGCCAACAGTGGATCTCCTGAGTCTGTCTGCTGCATGTGATGCCTTGGACCAGCACAACCTCAAACARAATGACCAGCCAATGGATATTCTGCAGATCATTAACTGCCTGACCACCATTTATGATCGACTGGAGCAAGAGCACAATAACCTGGTCAACGTTCCCCTTTGCGTGGACATGTGCCTCAACTGGCTTCTGAATGTCTATGACACGTATGTATGGGGAGCTCAGGACATGGGAAAGTTCCAGGAGCTTTCCCAGTAGCAGAAGGGGAGGGAGAAGTCTGCCTTATTATAACATGGGTGGCTTGGAGCTGAAWAAAGGGGTAGTTGAAGTGAAAGTTTAATAAACCTAATGGTTTAATKGCTGCATTTAGCTGAATCAATACAGCCCTTGGTTAAGCTTACAATTCTGGATTTATTAAGCTAAGTAATGAGAGAGTTGGAAAACAGAACTTTTAAAGCAGGTTCTTGAGTTCTGACCAATTCTGTGACTGCATGTCCACAGTAGGTCATGGCTTTACAAGGCTTTTTATTTTTTTGATAAAGAAGATCAAGAGAATTATTAAGAAACAACAGAGTAAACACCATATAAACTCTTTTCAGTCTGTACTTCTAGATGTTAAACCTTTTCAAATACATCCATTTTCTATAGCTTTCAATCTGTCATTCTTTTTCAAAGATGGACGAGGCTCCTCTCTTGTCTAATGTGCTTACAACCCTTAGTCAGAAGATTTGAGAAATGCTTAATTCAAACTGATTTTAAAAATTGTACCCATCATTATATATACAACAGACCTGACAAAAATGTATGGGTATTCCTTTTAAATGGGTTTGTGATGCTGTTCATAACGTGTAGGCAAATTCCAACATATGTTTGTAATCTCATTTTAGAATAAGCCATTATATTTGTATTTGGTGAATTTAGAAAAAAAAAAAATCAGTGAAAGTATTTGATTTATGTTTTTAAGGTTTTTATCAGTCACTTTCAGCCAGACATGCTCATTACTGTAGCAGAATAAACATTTACCTACAGAATTTGAAAGACCTGGGACAATTACTGTATTTGACATTTTGAACCATACTTGAGGGCCATAGCACTGTTCTTCTATCCACCCCTTATCACAGCAGTGAAGCTTTGGTGATCACCTGCAAAAAAATTAGGTACAGATTTGTACAGATCCTGTCTTCCTGCAGGATCACCTCTGCTAAGCCAGTTGTTTGTGACATCCTCTGCAGCAGCTGCAGCATCCTATGAAGTGGATTACCCAGATTACATTATATTTCTTGCAGGATACCAGTACTATGGAATGGGGCTATATTCATTCAGGAGCCAGGGTTTTATTTCTTTAATCTGCTTTGGCTTTCACAGAACAGTGATCCATTTCTGAGTTACCATCAACCATAAATAACATACAGATGAAGAGTCCCAGTTAGTGAAAACAAAAAAAGATATGCTGTGATATTAATTTATATCAGTCACATTAGAGACAGAGGGGACTAAAGGTCATTCCAAGGCTGCTCCTAAGATGAACTGTCCAGTTCAGATTTGCCACATCCAGTCTAGTTTTCTTTAAGTTGCACTGAGCTGCAAGTACATTAGAAATTCTAATTACCTGCCTCTAGGCAATTCCCTACCTATGCTGGGGAGCTGCATGTTGCAGGGCACAATGAAACACAGAGGTGTTTTATGTGTGAGGAAAGCTTGTAGCTATTTTACCAAAATTCARGTTTGAATTACACTAGTAAGAGAGGTGACCTTGGGGTTACATTTGTTTAGTTTTCATTGTAAACTTAATAGGCAGAGATCAACCGGAGTGCACAGCGCTACMGGAGACATTTAATTAAATGTATGAATCTTTACTTTTCTTATAATTGAAAACTGTCATTTGTAAAGATATTAATCAAATTCACAGTCAATGACTGATCTAATTATGGGCACGGCTCTGCAAATGCAGCACGTTTCGGATTTCTTTTAATTGATCAGTCACTCATGCTCATTTGCAGTAGCATGCTAAATTATTGGTTTGACTTGGGAGGAGAGGAGARTGAACTGAACAACTCATGATTTGTACAAGTTTCAATTTAATTGCCTTGCAGAGCAATCATCATTCTATATTCTTCTCTTGTATAATTTGCATGAGCCTGGTATTCATCAGGAGGAGTTTCTCAGGGCACAGATGATAATTAATTTGGAAAAGATYTGAGGGAGAGGAGTAAGAGGACCAGAGTGTGGAAAGCATAGGTAAACTACAAATGCTTACTTGTGATGAAAAATGCRCGTTTTTTTAATAAAAGGTTGCAAATTCTAAATTTGCAGAAACCTCTGGTTTCTGGTCTGTCCCTTTTAGAGGGTTTGCAGGGGAAATGTGTGGCTAAATGAGCACTGCTGGCTCCTCAGCTCTTTCATAGGATTAAAAAGACAACCTGCATCTTTACCTGTGGTGCAGCCTGATGCACTGCCATGGCCTGCCTCTGCATGATTTACCTTATTCTTAGTCGTGGCCTTAATGGTGATGCTTCAGAGCTGTTGATAAGGCTCTGCTTCAAAAATGTTGAGTTGAGGCATTAGCTCCCTGTTTTGTGTACGTCTTCATTTGCAATGGATGTTACATATTTGAAATGCTCTCAGAAACAAAAGTCTGGGGGTGAAGCCAGCAACTGGAAGTCAATTGAGTTAAAGCAGATGACAGAGAAGATGTGAAGGTTTGTCACTGCGTCGCCGGCAGCTCAGAGGAGGGTGTTGTTCTCACTGTCACATTAAAAAGCAAAAGTAGTAGCGTGGGCACGTTACAAGGCAGGAGTGAGTGTGAGGGGGAGGCTGACAGGCAACAGGGGCTGACTGGGAGTGTCCCAGCCCCTTGGCACTGCACAGGAGAGCTTTGAGCACTKCGAGGAGGAGCTCAGAAATCACACCAAGGTGTTAATGGCATAACAGCCTGACAGCCTTGCCATGATTTGTAGGCGAGTTTTATCATCCACCTGAACATATTACAAGTGTCTGTGTCGTAGCACACTGCTGGCAGAGGCTGCTTTTTCGTGCTTGGCTCCCTGTTGCCWTTTCAGACAAGTCAGGGCAGGGCTGACAGACAGTAAGCAAAGACTTTCTAAAAATGACTGCGACATTGCATTTCTGGTGAAAGTAAAGCTATATTGTTTCTGGCAAAAGGGCTGATTTGCTGTTCTGTCAGGGACCTCATCTCCTCTGAGAATTGCTCAGCAGCAGTTCATAGAGAAGCCTGTTCAAATAAGCATAGGGTAAAGACACTTTACTCACTTTTTTTCATAAAAAGGAGATGAGTAATTATTTCTGATCAAGACCATTTCTGGTAGAATTGATACAACAGCACAATCCAGTTCAGCTAAGCCTGTGAAGCCACAGCAGTGYTTTATTTTTCATTTCTGCCTTACCAAATAACCATCCAGCTCACGTGCTTTCTGTGAGACTTAATTCATGAAGACTACAGTACTGCAGTGAACTTGGTTATAGTAAACAAATTATGACATGAATGGATTATATTACCAGCCAATGTTTCTTTTCCATTAGGGGTCGAACAGGAAGGATCCGTGTCTTATCTTTCAAAACTGGTGTTGTATCCCTTTGTAAAGCACACCTGGAAGATAAATATAGATGTAAGTTGATATAATTATTTTGGGGTTTCCTTATGTTTGTATTCCTGTTTGTATTCCTGTTTTATTAATCTTGTTTATTTAWTGAATAAACATTTGAATAGCACACAAAGGCACTATTTTAGAAATTGCAGATGCAAAGTGTGGTAATTTGTTTCACCTTGTACTTTTAASTTATTTATTCTCTGTAGTTTTAGGTAATTTAGCAGAGTGGTTGCTAAACCTTTTTGATCACACCTCTCTCAGTAAAAAAAACTTCGAGCATGCACTTCCAATAGATGTATATCTATTTATAAATTATGTATATGTGCCACTGTACTAATATTTGGTCGACATTATAAAGCATATCAAAAGTAAAAAATTAGAAAGGATATGATAAAGATTAAATAAAAAATACTTGGAAAGTTTCAGTTCAATCTATTAACTGTACAAAAATTATTTCTTTGCTGCACTCTAATGGATTGTCTTCAACAATCCCTGAGGCACAAGMACCCCTTTGGAGACCACTGGTTTAGCGTACCTTTACACACAAAAATGCATCTCTACACTTGCATTACACTATTTTCAAATATGTTAGCTTTTTTTAATGATTCCCACATTGTGGTCAGTCTTATTATGTACATTGTGTTTAAGTATAGTTGCTAATAAATAAATTAATATTAAAGGTGTGCAAATTTTGCATATTTAAGAGAGGAAATACTTGAAAAAAATCCACTTGCAGTCTTAGTTTTACCTGACTAATGAATCAGTTCATTAATGAGACTAGGATCCAGAAAAGAACACTGATAAATGTAGTTCTCAGGAATAACTTTCTTGTTGAATTAACTGRTATCACTCATTTGTGAACTTAAAAATACCACTGAAAATCCAGTCTTTAGGATTTGACCCAACACTAATTCTTCATCAATTGTTACCATTTGATGCTGTGCTAATGCAAGCTGAAAGAGAAAACAGACAGTACCAACAGTGGGGTCTGTGCATGACTAGGTGTAATTGGATCACATTTTAGGCCAATCACAATGAATGTCACAGTTTAGATTTCTAGATGTTTCATGTGGGTGTTATGAAAAAAGTATTCAGAAAATCTTTTAAGAAAATTACTCAGTACAGATATTTTTCAAAATGATATTTCACTGAAGATTATCACAGCTATAAAGAAAAGCATTTATTCACATTTTAGATTCTCCTGCACTGTGTGTGCACAGTAATGCATAACCTSTAAGTGTCCTATAACCTTGCTGAGGGCACTTAAAGTTTTAATGATGGGGAAATKGAGAGCTCAATAGCTGTGGGAGAGGAAGGAATTGTGTCTGTCATGCTGTGGTCTGGCTTTGCCATCCATGCTGAGGTCATAGGGCAGTTGTCATTAGTATCACTGCAAGGGTGCAATTGCTTGCACCCCTTAACATTTTTTGTCTCATTTGTGCAGCAGAGCAGAGTTGGTTGTGCTAGAGCACAAGTCTTCAGCTTTGCAGAGGTGATAGAAGGATTCATCCCAGAATTACTCGTTATAAAACTAGACTTTGCAAGAGTGAAATTCATGTAATTAAAAAATAATCCTTCCTCTCTCTGTTCTTTATTCTTTTGGAAGAAAACAGGTGTCAAAGCAGTGCTAGGAAAKTTATCTTGAGCAGTGCTGAAGCACCTTTATAATTGTGTCCCTGGTGTTGGGTGAAATATTAAAGTGACTCCATAAAAAAAGAGCATTATTTTATTCTAGTCTTTTTTTGATCTCTTTGTTTTTAAACTGTTTGAAAAGTAAGAAGAATTTATTCAGGTAATGTGTTGTCAACAGAGATGTTGCCAAATATTTCAGTTAATGCTAGCCTGTTTTTCTTTTTATTATGAATTCTATTACCTCCTCAACATATACATAGTATAACTAATTCCCACCAAATTAAATGAGCTTATGAAGGGATAATACCTCTGTCCTACAAGAACTCTTTTCCAGAATGATGCAGTAACAGAACATGGCTTCAAGTGACATTTCACTTCAAAAGCAAAAAACTAATATGATATTAAAATTTCTGATGGATGACAGGTTCTGTTGTACTGTAATTTTTTTCTTTTATTTTAGAAATTCTCTTGAATTAAAAGATCATGGTGTATTGAAACTAGGGAGCTCTTGTTTATCATTTTAAGTCAGCTGGAAGAGAAATGGATTCTCTCAGTTGTATGTTGATTGCTTAGACTTGAAAAGGTGCTTTGTGTTGTATGAAATTATTTTACCATTAAACATTMTTTTCAAGATGCCTGTGTTGTGGCTCAAAGATCCTGCTGTTTAGTTAGCTGTGTTACAATGTCACAGCGTTTATCATTAGTAATGCCACAGGTGCTGTGTTAGAGTGGCCTTTCTTCCCAGGAACAAGCCAGTAATGTTATTAAAAATGATCACTAGACTCATATTTGACAGAAAAAAAACCCAGTGTTTATGGGAAAAGATGTATTTGTGTTCATGTCCACTAAGGCTGTTGACTGCACCTGCGAGCCTTGGAAATGATGCAGATCTGGGCTACTTGCCACACCCTGGTAGCCATGCTTGACCTCTGGTGTCCTTCTCCTTCCTCCAGACCTGTTCAAACAAGTGGCCAGTTCCACTGGTTTCTGTGACCAGCGCCGGCTGGGGCTGCTGCTGCACGACTCCATCCAGATCCCCCGGCAGCTGGGGGAGGTGGCCTCCTTCGGGGGCAGCAACATCGAGCCCAGTGTCAGAAGCTGCTTCCAGTTTGTAAGTTCTTGTTTTGCTCGCTGTCAATTTTCCAATCTGTATTTTRTCTTGAGCTCGCCTGTACTTCTGAGCAGGATTGAAAATGTGGGATGAGGGTTAGGGTACTGTGGGTCATGTATTGGCAGTGGCCATCGATGTATTAAACTGTTCCTTTATGAGGTGTATTTGAATTAGCTCAGGCAGCAGGTAATTGTCAGCAGGGGCTTCTGTTGGAACTGGATCCTGCAAATAGTTTTAAGTCTGTGTTGTGGCAGCTCCTGGTTTTGCAGTTCTCTGTTGCCAGCAGTAGATAACWGTTCATTGCTGCCATGGAGGTGAACAGCAGTGGTTAATCTGAATTTTGGGTATGTACATGCCAGTGACAGCCAGGTGCCATGGGAGAGTAGGCTACTGCCTGCAGTGCTGTCTAAGGGTGAGGAGTGCTCGATGAGCTCTTTCCACTCCTTGAATGAAAAATGCTGCTTTTTTGTTAAAGAGTACTGAAAGTATTCCTGTCCTGTCTGTTGTGGAATATACAGCAAACTGGAGGCTCTTTTTCAAACTTGTAAATTATTTAATCTGGGGAGGAAGAGAGTTAAGGGAATTATTCATCCTTATGATAACTACCAGCAGAATGCATGAGATGAAGACAGCTGCTTAATGAAAAGGTAGAGGAGGGGAGGTAATGTATGGTCTGTGATTAACTCTAAATRCATCTTCTACATTACAATGGAAGAAAGCTCTTTTCCCATCTCTTCACTGTCCCTGAGGGATTTTTTTGTTTGGTTGGGGAAGAGGGGAGTTGTTTGCTTTTTTGCCTGCTGCTCAAGTTTCATTGTGTAGTAGTTTCATTTCTGTAGTAAGCAAAACACAGCAAGTGTTTTCAATGAATATTAATGCTTGGAAGTAGACTGCTTGCACACGATGACTATGAAAAGAATCCAATTCTAAAATCATCACAAACTTTAGTTGTGATGGGACATTTGCTTTCATGATAGCAGTGAAAGCACCCTACTGGTGCTTTCAAGCCTTGACTTCCACACTGGGCTTTCGAGTGACACCARCACAAAATGCTGCTGCAGCAAATCCATGATCAAAATTTTGTGCAAATGACCTTCCTCAGAAATTAGGACTCACCAGATTCTCTTGTTYTCCCAAGTGAATGTCAACAGCACTTAARAACACTGTTGAAAAACTGATAAGGAAAGTGASCTCAGAATCCAGCAAAATCATAGGTTTTTTTAAAAGGGGACTGCCATTCTGTGTGTTTATACTACGAATAAAACAAGAAAAAACATAGTGATTAAACATACCAAATCCCCCTTTTTTTAAGTAGGAGGAAGACTTTTGGGGATGGTCTTTAGCAGGRCTGGGAGTTGGACTTGATGATTCTTGTGGGTTCCTTCCAAATCAGCTTTTTCTGTGATTCTGTGATTTTGTGAGTAACTGTATTTTAATAAAATAAGTTAGCAGCATTGTCATTAGAAGTGAAGACATGCTAGCAGGCTGAACACTGTACCACATCCAGCTGCTGGCATTTCTAGGAACAGCCCAAGCACAGCTGGACACAACCTTTGGCATGCTCATAAATCAGAATAACAGAAAACCTTCTCCTACCTGCACTGAAAAATAGGTTTCCTTCTTACCTGAAATARGAGAAGTATCATCCTCTCTTTTTACTCTGGATGAAGCTTCATTTTAACTCTTAAAATCAAAGGGGTTTCCAACCTGGGCTGCAGTGGAATAGATGATCTTTTAGGAGGGCCAGAAACGGGGAGGAAGGGTTATCTGAAGAGGGGTAATAGAAGAATAAGTTAGATAGAGGCCTAGGGAGAGAGGAGCAGAAATACAAACATAGGGAAAGCCCTAATGGAGGTGAGGGAGAAGGAATTAAGGAGTGGAAAAATAAGGAYGACCCTTAGGGAATGACAATAAAAACAGGAGTAGAAATAATAGTGATGAAGAAAACAGGGTGGGTAGAATGAGGCATGGGGAAAAAAAACCAAAAAAAAAAACAGCAGCCAGGAATGGAGATGGGRAAAGAAATATGAACTTTCCTTGAGAAGGGGAAAAGGGGAACACAGAGATATCCTTTCAGTGTAGGATGGTGGGCACCWGGATCCACAGCACAGAAGTGCTGGTGGAGGGGAACATGGAGCAGCCTAGGAAACAGAGAGCCYGGAAAAGCTGGATTAACAGGGAGTACTGCTGCTCCCAGCAGCCTCCTTTTACTGGAGATAATTAATTTTTTAAGAATATTGTGGGAGTTCATAGTTTACATTACTGCATGGAAACTAATTTAGGTCTTTCTTTGTACACCCACGGTGAGGAACGCTTTTTTTAAGTTTTGTTTATTTCTTTCCTTTTTTTCTTCCTTCTTTCTGGTGATGATAAGCCAGCAATATAATTGCAGCCATATCAGAGTCTCAACAATWGTGTGCTTCAGGAATGGTTCTCCCAGCTCCCTTAGGTTAGGTGCCCTGGCAACGGCCTTGTCTGTCTGCACAGCAGCAGAAAAAAAGGGGATGTTTACTGTTCCCAGTGATAACAGGGGAAATCTCTCCTGCTTTTTGAGAAGTGAGTCCTTGGGAATGTGGTTTGGGGAGGGAGGAGCCCAGCCCTGCTGTTGGCAGCTGCCTTGCCTGCTGCAGACCTCTGCTTCTGAATTGGGTCCCCTTCTCCCGAGGCTGCTGCTCAGTCCTGCTACTTTTCACTCCCCAAGCACTGCCTTGTGTTTTCTGTAGTTTTCTTCATTTGCAAGAAGGTGCTGGTGGAAGCTGTTGGGAGGAGAAGGATATCACGGGAGTCATCTTTCCTATTTGGGGCAGGGGTGTGTAATTTCTGCTTTGATATTTTAAAGAAAAAATACTTTTAAGTGTAGAGGGCAAAGAGCTTAATCCAATGACCAATACACTTGAAGTCTTATAGTTCTGCTGAAGCTCAGAATGCATCAAAGCAATCTATAGATCCATGAAAAATTGAGTGAATTCAGTGTTGCTGCAGTTTCAAAGAACTTTCCTTTTAGTTCTGTGAAGGGTATGTATTTTAAGTAAACAGGATAGGGAAATGATATGGACTGAAGGACACACAGTTTTAATCACATTGGAAAATTACTAATATTCTTTTCTCATATAGTGTAAACAGGACCTAGGAATTCAYATCACTGCCTTGGAAGAGTTACTGTGACATTGGCACTTTGAAGAAAAGTGATGAGATAGCAGAGTGCAGCTGAGATGAAAATGTCCCTTGCCATTTCTCAGTAAAATATGGGATAGTTGGTTYTTGGTTATAAACTGCTTTAAGTATGCTTTCTTTCAAGGATATATTTGMATTAGAGTATGTGATCTTAAAAAGTAGAACAGATGAAGCTAAGGAGTAGTAAAGTATGTGCAGTTAGCTCGTGCATGTATTTTAAACCTTGTTTTGGTTCRCTTTGAGGAAGTGAGGTATTTTAATATTCTGTGTTGTATAGTCATCATTACTAGATTTGTACTTCATCAATGGCAAGATCAGCCTGCTTTCTAAAACCACTGAATTATGCCAAATCTGGTGAATTTACTCTGGCAAATAAAATCCGGAATAAATCTGTTAGTCCTTTTAGGTGGCATTCRGGTATTACAAATCCTGGGCCAGGACCCTGATAGTGGCTTTGACCATAAATATTGTGATTTGAATTGGTTGGATAGTTCTTTCTTGAGGTATTGTTTATTGCTTTTATTTTTTGAGCAGTTAAGGAATACCAATACTGTTTACAGATAACTATATATAGTTATATACATGTCTGTATGAAAATAACTTGCAAGTGCAGTGTTACTGTTGAGGGAGTTGATCTCTTTGAAGAGATTCAGGCAGCCCTTGTTTCTATTCATAGGGTATTTCTACTGCTTCTGGCTCTGGCAAGAGAGAGCTGGCCAAAGGGAACTAGCAAATCCTCCCTCAAGATGCTGTGCTTTAAATGTCATAAATCAGCAATTCTGGTTTTATTTCAGCAGGATTTTGTGAACCTGTGCCTGACTTCAGAGGCAGTCTTGAAGAGTCTTACAAGTGAACTGCTTTCAAGAGCTATTTTAAAATGGTTTAGGGGATGGGGATCAGGAAGATGGTTTGTTCAAGTGTGGATGATATAAAACTATACTAATTCACTTCTGGGTTCATGTTATTTTATTTTATTATTCTTTTCCGCAACACCATGATTGTTGTAGTCGATGTAATCAAGTGTAATGCAGGAGTGGAAGACAAGGTTGAACAGGGTTGGGTCTAACTCCGGGGAGACAGGGTTGCTGTTACTGGCTGCTCTKCATTTTTAAACTTTAACAACTCGTAAGAATCCCATCCCTTCGTTTGGTTTGTCCAAAACAATATTTGCTAATGTAAAGCTTTCCACCCGAGGTRAAAAACACCATTAAATTAACAATGTTAATTTATTTCCGGTCAATTTCCTACACTGCACATAAACAGAATATAGCTAATCAGAAATGTTATCAGAGATTTCTGCTGTRTTATCTGACTCGGTTGAAAAACATAGCACATTGTTCATTTTAAATCCCAACTGTATTTTGGAGCTTATTTTCTATTATGGACAGATAAAGTTAATATAGCGTAGGATATTTTTTCAGCTACTCACTGGAGGAAGAGGGAGGGAAGAACAAAAAACCCATCTCCCAAGTATTGCATAAAGATGTTAGCACCACCCAACTTCCTATTCCCCCATTGTTTCTGCTAAATAAATACTGAAAAACAGATGTCTGGAACATAATGAATTTGAATGTCCTCCATAACAAATTGTTACTTGTAAGCTGGAAAGGACTTAATGAATTTTACTTCATGATTCACTCTGTTATTACCATAAAAATTGGGACTTGCACAGAAATGTGTTCAAGAGAAGAGCCATTAATATTCTTTACAGCTTGATCTTGTTGGTTCAGATATGAACTGTATGAATTCAGCCTTTTTCCCATATGTTAAATCTTCAGCTGCTGCCTCGCCGGATTTAGAGATTATTAAAAAAATTGTCATAGCAGCTCGGAGAGCAGWCGAGAACTGTCTGTCCTATGCTGTCTGACCCTGACCAGCTTTTCTCCACGTGGCTTTAAATCTTCATGTAATATAATTCAGAACCAGTTCTGATACATTTTAATGCACCTAATCTCTCTGAGCACAGGTTTTGTACAGCCGCCATACGGAGCTCTGGGTAGGCAGCTATTGGGACTGCTGGCAATTGACAGTGACTGCAAAATTAAAATAGATCTTTGGGTGTTACAGAAAGTCTTTCATTGCCGCAGCATTTTCCCTGCAAATTTAAAGCAGCTACAAGTGGAGAGCAGCGCTTTGAGCGGCTCATTCTTATTCTGACTGCAGCTTGCACTGCAGCATTTCCGTACACCTCATGTTTTTCTATTAGGAATGGTATATTAAAGAGATCCTCTTAATTTTTTTTTTCTTTGAGCCTTAGAGGACTTCTGTATAGAAAGTGTACTCTACTAGGCAGGGTAATGGTTTTCCAGTGTAGTTGCTGGCTGAAGCTGGATCCTTGAGTGAGCCACAGAAAGCCTCTCCTCTGCCCCTTTATTGCCYTGCCTTCTAGCTGAAAAATAGAGATGATCATATTTTATAAACATGCCTTTCACTTAGGGGTTCTAGAATTAATTTAATTCGACTGAATTCACTGATGTRCTGTGGCAGAAGGCAGTATTCACTCTTCTGAAAAAATTCTGTTGCCAGTGTTGGCTGGACTTTATTGTGCTTTTGATTTTCTCTTTTTATTTTGTGGGGAGGTGCTTCCTAAATTCTGTAGCTACATGAAAATCAGAGAAGGAGAGTTTAATGCAGAAGTCTTCAGAAGTGTTTCAGTGTGTATTCCATTTAATATAATCCTTTGGTGAATATCAAATTATGAAGGACTTTATCTGAATAATTGTTGATATGTTGTGGTTTGATATTTTTACCCCAAACATCCAAAAAAGGATATTTTTACTATACTAGAAGCCCTGTATATAGATCCCAAATGTGGTCATAGGAGTTGCTAGATGGTTTCCCAAACTGGCATCTCAGGAAGCAAGCTCTGACCAAGATTCTTTGTTTMTAATGAGCTGAAGTATTGCATTAGAATTTTAAGTCAGTTTTAATGCAGTGTGTTRTTCAGGCCATATTACAGGGGTTTGTATTCTACATCTTTTTTTGTGAGTTTCTGTCTAGGAGCCTGCATTTTTCTTAGCTTTCGAGTATCGGTAAGTTGATTTGTTTGTCAAGGTTATAAACAGTGTTAGATTAAAAAAAAAAAAAAAAAAAAAAAAAAAAAAAAAAAAAAAAACCAGAACAAAATTACAACTAATTGGTTTTCCCTGTAGCTCTTTTTCCTGCAGATGAGTTGTGATTTTTTTTCTTGAAATTCATTGTTAGCATTTTTAGTGGAATCAGATTTTAGCTCGGTTATATGAAACTCAGATTTCATGAGAAACTGGAAAAGTAACTGAGAGCAAGCATAAAAATCCCCAGCACTCAATCCCCTATTCATCTTGGTCCATGTACATGATACATTAATGCCTATTATTTATTTAAATGCTTCAAATAGGTTTGGAACCACAAAGGAAGACAGTCTGCCTTGTGAAGTTTAAAATATAAAAGACTGGCCCATAGAGAGCTGTATTTGAAAGCCTAGTGAAAAGGGAAAACAGAGAATTTAAATATATTCAGACCATAAATATGCTGTTGCTGTGGGTAGCATGGAAGGAAATGTCTCGAGGAATTGGAATAAGCATGTAGTGCTGGTTTAGAGAAACAGAGCAGGATGTTATTCCTCTTCATCACTTGGGCTGTTCCCTGTGTGGACACATCCTCCCCTCTCCCACCCTCCCCACCAGAGCCCCTCGAGGTTTCCACCTGATCCAATACCTTCCTTTCAGCTCTGAAACCATCTTCCAGRTTCTCAGATAACCAGTTTTGTGCAGGTTTCGTGACACCCTGCATGATGCAGAGCTGTTTCCTGTAAACACTTGACTCCATCATTCCACTGTTTTCCCTTAAATCCCTTCTGATGCTCCTTGCCTTTGTTCTGCATTCTTCTTTGCCTGGTGGTACAGTGTGACCTCTACCCGTGCACAGAAATCCCTATTGTCTCCTGTGCCTTGTGGTTTTTGTCTCTGTTTTCTTGTTCCATACTGTGGGTGCTCTGGGCAGGGATGATGTATCATTTTTGGGGTGTGCACAGTGTCTGGCACAATGGGATTTGGCTCTGACTGAGMTGCTTTGAAGTTACCATGGAAGAGATACCTGAAATGTTGCACTGCTTAGGATGGGATGGGATGGGAAGGCAGCAGGTATTTGGTTTGCTGAGAAGTGTTCATGGGCTCCTCTGCTGTTGGCAAAGAGATGAGTGTGGGATGTCAGGGAATATGAGGTTTATATTTTGTGGGACGGAACTGTATTTTATTTGCAGTCAGTGAACAGAAAATTTAGAGAAGGTCTGATGAAAAGAGGGTGTTTGAGGCATTTAAGGAGGCAGAGGGTTTACATGTTCAACAAAAGGCTTGAGAGGGATTTGAATGATTTCCTTACATGTRCATTATGAAGAAAGGTCAGTGTGATAATGAAGGATGTTAAGGAGAAAGGAATTTTGATCAAAAGACATGCAATTTTTAGGGCTTGGATAACAGTTTTTAAAATAGGTGAGAAGCAGTGCTATGCAGAYTCAGATAAGAGAGACAGAGAATGTGAGATCAGGCATCAAAGGTGATCCTGTAAGTGGATGATTTTCTCTTTGACAAAGTACATGGTAGTGCTGTCTATTGTAACAGGGAATAAGAGAAAGAGAGATTTGAAATATTAATAGTAATTTTCAGCTCCTGGCTTGACGGCAGGATTGTGGGGATTTTTTATTTTTATTTTATTTTTTTTTAATGACTAGTTGGACTGGGGAAAAGCAGGAGTATATTCTGAGAAGAGATGTGGAGTTGACAGGAAGCAAACAGCTTGGACTGTTAATTAGCTGGTAAGTAGATACATAGATCACTTATGCTCAGCCCCTGTCATTTTTCCCCTTGTGTTGCAGGCCAACAACAAACCAGAGATTGAAGCAGCTCTTTTCCTGGACTGGATGAGGCTGGAACCACAGTCCATGGTGTGGCTGCCTGTCCTGCACAGGGTGGCTGCTGCTGAGACCGCCAAGCACCAGGCCAAGTGTAACATCTGTAAGGAGTGCCCCATTATTGGATTCAGGTACAGACTCTCTCCCTTTCAGCCATGTGTGCTACTGCTTGGTGGATCAAGAGCTCTGCCTGATTCATGCCTTTTGTTCTTGGAAAAAATAATTGTGATGGGGACATGAGGGAGAATGACACCTAGCCTGGGTATAGTGATGTGAGACTTGAAGAGGACAATAATCATCTCTCAGTTAAGATATGGTCCCTTCCTCTGTCTCCCAGTCTTTCCATGCCTCAACCAAAGCATTGTTGGATTGCACAACTAAMACAATTTGCCTTACATTCAGTGTGTCCTCTGCAGTTGCATTTTCTGAATTGGATCCTACTGAATTGCTTTCTGTCATAGTACAAAGCAGGGAAGTGCCTTGAAAATTCTCAGGCATGTAAAAGCTAYGTGTGCATTTCTCAGCGAAAGAATGTTGGTGGAACATTAACCTGGAGTGGGGGAAATGTTGCTGGTCTATTTAAACATCTGGATTRACACCGTGGTTACTATGGCAATGAATAAGTCACTGTGCTGTAAAATGGCTGTGTGTTGGTGTGCCTGTTGAGAAGCCACTTAAGGGCTAAGTAAAYACTCACTTTCAATTATGCCTAGACTTGTTTTATCACTTTCCTTCGCAATAGCTGCTTTGTATGGTTTCTGCCCTTACTGCATACAGTCTTCTTTTACCATTGGCATTTCTCCTTCTATGTTATCATGTTGTTTACAAAGAGCTTTCTGTAATTTTGCTTCTAAAACCCAAGCATTRCTACAGAAAAAAACCATCATTTTGCCCTAACCTGGGAGTGTATGAATATTGCTTTTATGCATGTAGTGGAACAGTGCTTTCTKCTACACTTTCACAGGCAGTGGGAAATGGGGGAAATAATGGAGGTATGTAATGCTTTGTTTTGAATCTGAGGCTGTGGCTCTAATCATCTAAGTTCTTTTCCTTATGCTTTTTTACCCCATGAGTATCTTAACTGGAAAGTGATAAATATTACTGAAGAAGAGCTGTGGATTGGATGTGAATAATTCAGCACATCCACAAAGTCTTAATTTTCCCATTCCCAGATATGGTTTATGAACTACGGTATTACTTACACGGTTTTGTATAAACCAGCCAAAGACAAGTAGGTGGAATTGAAAAACGCAGCCTTTGGAAAAATCAAAGGATGGCAAGTGAATGGATAGTCTGTTGTAAGCACTGAGAACTCGGGAAGCGGACACTGGAGCTCTGTGTTTGTGTCTAATTTTACTTGACTGATCTCATCTGTCTCTTAAATTTATATAACAAATCTATTATCATGATAGTAGAATCTGTCTGTCACAGATTTTTTTCTCTGTCTTTGCAAGTCATTGAAACCCCGTGTACAGACTTGACAAAAAGATACTGTATTGGAAGGCTTTTAGAAAACTAATACTGTGCACCCAGTTAATGTAAAACAATGTTCTTTTGAGGTCGTTGTGGCTGAGCTGCTTCATGTATTTGGAACAAGACAACCCTTATGCCTCCGGCTCTTTCAACCACTTCAGCGCTGCAGATACAACAGTTAGCTGCCTCATAGAGCTGATGAGATTAAATAATGGCCCAAAAGTGCATTTGGAGTTTTGCATGGGTGGAATGCTCTACAGGAAAATTGTTTTTATAGAGGTGCTAGGAAGGACACTAGGGGKTTGCCAGAGTGAGTTACTGAGAGGGCATTACTTTCCGGAATTTTCCTCCCTCAGGACATTCTGTTTTAGGAATCAGTATGAAGAGCAAAAGATCTGAAGTTAGTGTGAGAGAAATAAAAAGTGTAGTAGTGTCTTTCATATGTTAAAGGTGAGTGAATGTCTACAAATCTTCACTGTTGCCCAATATTAGAATTTTTTTTWAAAATTGAGATCTTCAACAAACGTCTGAGGCAGCAGTACCTCAGGGCAGAGGAGCATTGCTAGGCATTGCACACCGTGTGACATCTCACAGAAGAGAATTTATTAACACAGAAAACTTGATGTGCTGATATGAAGCAGTCACATACAAAGCTCTGAAGCCATGACATTTTTTATCATCTTTTAGGTACAGAAGTTTAAAGCACTTTAACTATGACATCTGCCAAAGTTGCTTCTTCTCTGGCCGTGTTGCAAAAGGTCACAAAATGCACTATCCCATGGTGGAATACTGCACACCAGTAAGTAGCTGTTTTATTGACCCTTACTGTCCCTTTTTACGTATAAAGGAAAAACTTCTTTTCCTATGTGCAAGGTAATGAAGCATTAGGATGGCTTTTCTTTCTTTTCCCGTAATTAAATCTCATTTTATAACTATTCATGCCAGCAATTTTCAGTGCTTAGTCAAGGGWACTGCAATGGTTTGAAGTAAATTGAAGTTCATTGTTTGCACAATTCTGTGTTGTGATGTGTTGCTGTGTGCTAATGACTTGTTCCATGTTCAGTGCCATAGCTCACTTTATGGATCCTGTTGGAAGCATGGGATTCGTGCAAATATTCATTCATATTTTAGGTCCCGAGATTTTCTTTATATCAGGGATTTTTCCTTCTTTCCTCAGCAAGTTGCCACTTCCCTTGCTTTCCCCCACAGCACTATGATTGCATTTTTAAGCTGTTCAATATTTCGTAGTACCTTTGTAGCGTATGATCACTTGATATAAAACACCAGGGAAGTTCTCAGGGTTGCAGGTTGGATTTCATTTCTGATGTGGGGAAGCCAGGGTGTTCAGTGCAGGGTGTTCAGTGCAGTGATGATGTGGTGAGGGTCTTCACCCTTCTTTCACTGTTCCCAAAAGGATCATTTTTGCATAAACATTTCTTTCATTTTCTTTCCTTTCTGGCAAAGGAAATTCCACATTTCTCTGTCAGTKTGCTCCTTTTTCTTTTTGTCCTCTCACACAACCAGTGCAAAGCATAAATTAGAGGTTCTCTCAAGTTAAACTTCCACCCTATAGCAAGACTGAGCTTATAGCTGCCTGTGCTGTTTGCTTATGGTGGTCTTGAAGCAGTGCTCTCTGGTCAGCATTTCCTGGTGAGGCAGGATGATTCCTAGTCTTTCATYTACTGGTAATGATAAATGGTGAAAATAAAGCATCAAAATTATGATGCTAGCCTCATAAAATTATATTAATAGTCTTTACATCTTCATCCAAGCAAAAAGGCATGGCCACAATGAAGTAAAGATTCTCAGCTTTTCTTAGAAACTTAAAAAAGAGGGAACAAATTTATTCCCCTAAAATATTATAGTAAAGCAAKCCCAGAATTTTTGTTAGTTTTAACATATGTATAGTTACTTGCATTATTTGTGAACTTTTACCTTTCAATGTCAGTATTTCATGGGAATCTSTGCAAGGGCAAGCAGTGCACATTTGCTGGCTCTTTGTGGTTATTCATTGCCTGTGGTTTTCAGTGCTGTCCCACAGGGACTGGGGTTGCTGGAAAGGCAATTTGCCTGAGCTGCTGCACACGCCATAGGGAATTGCTGGTGCTGCCCAGGCAGGTCTGAACAGACTTCTCCATTGCAGGCATTCCTAGTGCAGAATCTCGTGATCTGAGTCGTAGGCAGGGTGAGTGAGTGACTGACCGACCGCCTGGGAGCCTTCCCTCCACCTGCAGCTCAGCCCCTCCTTCCTGAGCTGACTGTGGGTTTGCTTTGCACTTTAAACCCTTTACTATTCTTGCTAATAAACAATGTGGGAGATTTGTGAATGGTGCACAGAATGTACAAACCAGCATCTTTCAACTATTTCTTAGCCTTTTGATGTATTTGAGGAAAGAGAAGTCAAAAAAGGATTATGAGATGCACCCCCAGCCTGCAGCAATTCATTGCAATACTGTGTTCAGCAGCTTTGTGTTCTTTCTAAAAATATGGATTACTAAGAGGTGAACRTGGTGGTGAACAGAAACCTGCCACCATGTCCAGAATGCTGGATCAGAATAAAGAACCATTCACAGCCAGTAAATTTTTCCCTGAACTCCAGCAACCCATGCTAATGTGCCGTGCCTGGCTGCACAAGCAGCCAGTTGAATTAGAGAAGGATTAACTGGGRTGGAGGGGGAAGTGAATGTGACACACAGCAAGTCCCTCTCTGGTTTGTGTTACTGCTATTACAGGAAATTTACCCAGGTACTGGGGGACTGAGCATGCACTGAAGCTATCGTGTCTAGTTTGTAATTGTTTTCTAAATGAATGAAAAAGGGYGTGCAGGTGGCAGGGCATTTTTCCRTCTTCCTCCACACTAATCTCTCACCTTAAAATGCATTTTGGCAGATGCAAGACATGTGATGCCTTCTTTGTTAATACCTTTGCAATAATTTGATGTGCACACTGAAGTGTTCTGATATTTTTATTCTCCCTCCCTTTTAGTATCAAAAATTTTTGAGCACTGCAGTCTTTAATTCTGCTTACGGGAGCTTTGAGAACTCATGCTAAATACCTGAGGGATGTGATAATTTTCCCTCTCTTACAAAAGGTTGAGTCAGAATAAGGCAAGGCAGTTGCCTGATTTTCATTTAGACAGAAGAATTGCAACAATTATTCCTGAAAGCAACACAGCTTGATTTATTGTTCAAAGAGATAAGCTTTTAAAGAGGTTTCAAACAAAGCATAGAAGACAGCTTATAGACTGAGATGGAAATGCAGGATGATTTTTCTGTTAGGGTTTGATGCAGTGACACACAAACATAAAAAACACATTGTTGGAAGGAAGTGTGTCACACTGATAGACCTGTCTACATCTAGGGTTTMCAGTCAGGGATGAGGTCTGGGGAGGGGGTTTGGCAAGGCACTTTCTTAAACCAAACTGGGAAAAGTCTGCTGGTGGTAAAGTTATCCTATGTGAATCGAAAGAACTATTTCTTATGAAATAATTTGGTTTCAGAATACTTTTGGAACATGCTCGACCCAGAGGCTTGTGTGTTGCTTTCATTTAAGAGAGCTAGGATGCTGAAACTCCACTGTTTCTTCCTCATAAACCAGTTCTGCTGGGAATTTTGGTCTGGATGATTTTACTCTAAAAAYCATTTGTAATAAAACATCTGTGGAGTAAATCARGSTTTGGCTGAAAATAGCCTCAGTTTRTCATCTCGTTCACATAATAATTACATTTTCTTTGCCTTTCCTGTGCTCCTTRAACATTTTTAAAGGGCACTTGGATCGTATGAGAGKTGTCTGATGCTTTTAGYTGTCACTAGAAGATGTATTTTCTTCTTGGGATTCTTGTGGTAGCAGCTAGATCMGGGTSTTTCTGTGCAAACACAGCATTTTGCTGTTTGCTTGTCATGGAAAAGGTTCRGGGGAGAACAGTCCCAGGAAGGYTGAAGCAAAGAATGTTTCATTGCTAATCAWACCTGAAAYCACTTAATCTAAATAACAGTCAAATGCAATAGAAAGTGTTCTCAACATCAAAAATAGACAGGGCATTAATAAATGGTTATGAATGGCACAAGTGAGCAACTGGACAGAAAGCTTAATCTATTTGTGCTGAGATTAAATGTTGAAAGTTTCCCTGTGTTTGCTGCTCTGTTGATGACAAGCTGGTTAGGAGCTGGCAGGCACTGCAGATGGAATTCAGCAGAGGGAATTCCCTTCTCTAGGGGCATGGGCGGGGAGCCACCTCAATAAATCTCCTTTCTGCAGTCCTCTGGTGGTCTGGACGCACTTAATCCCTCCCTTCCCCAAATGTCTTTACTTCCAATGAATTAAAGAAAGCTGATACTGAGTATTACTGWATATTACTGAATATTATCTCAATTGCTTGAACATACAGATGCTGCTGTACTGGCTCATAGCTTCTGCTGTGTCACTTCTCTGCCAGTCATTGCTTTCACTGAATTTCCCTGCCAAACAGTCTGACCACAAAGGGAGCCAAATTCTTTCCAGCTTTACATGAAGCTTGTAGGTATCATAAGTACAGGGATGATATTTGCCTTTTCTGTTAATGCCTTTCAGTCTTTCTGCAGATAAATTTTCAGGGCATCCTTAATTTTCCTATTTTTAAAAAATCGATCTGTGTTTAAGCAGCTCTGTGAAGGTTGGCTTGAGTGATAGGTTTCATCATATCCTTCCTCTCTAAGCAGCAGGCATAGAACTCAGTAAAAATGTCAGAAAGATTAACTTTTCCCTCATTTCTTTCCTTTAAATTASATACACTGCAGAAGATATTGTTATRTGGGTCAGGAGGAWTTTAATTTACTGTAAAAGAGCAGTACTTCAGGGTCTAGTGTTTCTGCAAGGTTCAGAGAAGGGAGTGCAGTCTGATTAAGGTAATTGAAGTCTTACATTAAAATTCGTCAGGAAATTGCCCAATTCTTCGTCAGGCTCTTGCATYTTCACAGCAGACATCCTTTAAACTCTTCTTGACTCTTTCTGGTCGTTGGGACTCTAAATCTATGTTGTGCTCCTCTGCTGGTCTCTACAGCAGCAAGGGAAGCCTGCTGCAGGCAGGGGAGTAGAAAACTTCATGCAAATTGTTCTCTCCTTGGGGTATTTATCTGAAATGCTGTTAGCTTCACACTGAGCAGGAAGAGGTAACTGATCTGAGACCTTTCAGCAGCTCCCACCTGCTTYTTGTCTCCCTCTGATCAAAATATTAATGGCACAGAAGTTTGAGGAGGGAAACAGGAAAGAAGATGTACCTAGAGATTTTCACAGACTGACAAGTCCATGAGATGGAGATGACAAGAGGTGGGATCCAGCCAGGGAAGCACCCAGCTGGACACACAGACTGGCTGTGTGTCCTCCACTACAGCCATTTTAGTGCTGAACCAAAAGGAGGCAGAGAGTCTTCCCCAGCCTGGTGAGGAAATGACAAATTCTTGTCTGAGATCACCCGAGGTGAGGCATGAGCCTGTCAGGAGGTTTTGGAGCTTCTTCCCTTTCCCTCTTCCTCCCCACYAGCAGTGTTCTGTGTAGTGCATTGTAAGTGACAGTGATGGACAAATAAAATTTGCTGTTCCGGGGCTCGAGCCATTGGCAGCTCTGCCTGGTGTGATCACAGCTCTTCCAAGTGACCCAGCAAAGGAAGAAGCAGCTGAAAAACAGTAACAACCTCATGAGAGATGATTTGATTGTGATTTGTGGCTTTCAGACAACTTCAGGAGAAGACGTCCGTGACTTTGCCAAGGTACTAAAAAACAAATTTCGAACAAAAAGATATTTTGCAAAGCACCCACGAATGGGCTACCTGCCTGTGCAAACTGTCTTGGAGGGAGACAACATGGAAACGTGAGTAGCTCTGAAGTATCTAAGCAGCAATTCATTTGGTTACACTATTTGAGCTCCCCAGCTGGTGCCAACTCCTTTCACTTCCTAAATGCATAAAGCCTCTTCATGTCTTTCATTTCTGTTTACCTCGGCTGGCAGGAAAACACAAGCTGGGCTTCCAGTTGCCATTGCCTTTATCTGCTTTCACCTGTCCTTATAGAGGAACTTCAGCTTCAGTTAGCAAAACAAAAAAAAAAAAATATTCACAATCTTACTGGCAGTCTTACAGACWTCTAAGTTTGATGCACAATTTGGAGGCTAATGATACCTTCATTRAATTTTTATTTTCTTCCAAATGGGTATCTTTCCTTGGTTTTATTTTTTTTAATTAGGCTACCGTGTTTGCAAGCTTCCCAGATGATTTCTTCTTTTCTCAGCCTATAAATTTAGTCTTACTAAATGACTTTGATGTCTTCATGGAAAAAAAAGCAGTAATGATGCACATGGAGAAATCAATGACTTAACCCAGTTCCCTTTGGTTTTTTAATCAGTTGTTTAATGGCAATTGCACGCAGCTTGTTCTCGCTCTTTCTCTTTCTCYTTTTAAATTTTAGATTTCAAGGATTTTTTTCTCACTTTTTGGTTGGTTGCTGTTCACAGCCATTCATGTTGGTCTGTTGRATTTCTGCTTTTTAGTTGTTGTGATTTTTTTTTTAACCTTTCTGTAATTATTTTGCTGCTGAGTTTCTTCTGCCTCTCTCTTCACCTCCTCATTTTTTGTCTTGCAGTCCTGTTACTCTGATCAACTTCTGGCCAGTAGATTCTGCGTGAGTACTTTTGCTGAAGTGTGCTGCTGCTGCTACTGCTGCTGCGCTCCCTCACTTTTTCTTTTTGTTTGTTTCTTTGTTTAGTTTTACATGAGATCATTTCCTTCTTTCTTTATGATTATTTCCTTTGATGCACTCACTGAAGGAATGTTTTGATCCCAAATAAGTAGAATGAGACAAATCCTGGAAATTCCAGCAGACATGGATTTTGTACTGTGTACTCTTTCTGGAGTATATATTTTTCATGGAATTAACAGGGGTTTCCTGCAGACCTACTAATGCTTATCAAAGTTTGTCATTTAAAAATCTGTGTTTCTGAATAAGTGTCRATCCCTCTGAATGTATACTAAATGCTTTTTGAAAGACAGAGATTGAACTTGACATGGATTTAATTCAGTTTCAGGAATKACAGTTTTGCAGATAAAGCTATAATTTGGTTTTATGTGCAACCCTGCACACTTGAGTGCCCCAGTTAATCCAGAGCTCACTGGGTATTTATTTCATTACGGTCTTTTAGATACATTCMGGTTTGCAAAGGCAGGTTGAAATGGGGAAATGTTTACTGTATTTTTTCAGAAGTTAAAAAGCAGGGCTTTTCAGCTGTGAAACGGATTTTCATTCTTGCACCACTCCAACACATGCATTGTCTAACTATTGTGGTAATAGTCTCAGAATAAACTAAAGATAGATACATGTTTGCCATTGTGGCATTTGCTACTTCTARTGTTTCACAGATGCTTCTAGAATAATGTTAAATAAGGAGTAATTTTAATTTACATATTGATAACTAATGAGAACTTAATAAATAGATTTTTTTTTTGTATATTTCTACATGGTGGAATGTATATAGCTTGCACCTCCATTGAATCTTTTGTAGAATAAACGAGTGAAATGTATACATTGGAATATTGRTTTATAATTTTCACTGGGAGCACAAACCATTGGGAAGCCAAGAGAAGTGCTCTACCTAGGAAATTTAGGCAACCAAGAAGCACATCTAACACTGCAAACCTCAAATGGTTGAGAATTCACCCACAAGAGGGCCAGAASTCTGGAGCCAGACTGAAATAAGGGGCTTTGAGCTTTATAAATGCAACTATGGATGYAGATTTCTTATACTTCAGAGCAATTGCAAAGTAAAAGTAACATTCAGAAAAGCTTGGATCATATGGAATGCCATTGCTACATCTGACATAACATGACATTAAGCTGTCATAACATGGTTAATTCTAGTTACTTGCAGTGATARCATTGTGGTGTGCCTACACCAATAGCTTCACACCAAAGGTTTGCTGTTGTATGCTACAGGGAGTTTAATAATGTAATACTTCAGAAAACTTGAGAAATACCGAGGAGCAGGATTTGTACAGAGAGGTTGCACTTTTTGTCAGACTAACTCAGGTGTCTTCTGGTGCACAATCCTTTCATCTGGTCTAACAAGGAAGCAGAAAAATAAGAAATTAATAGAAATGCCCTTCATTTTRTTCTGCTAACTTTATTTCTTTCCTTCATGGTATAGCATTTGACCTGCAATTCACGTTACTGAACTACACGGGTTTAAAGCTGTTTCTCAGTTACAGGGTGATTCCAGCTTCAGCAGAAAAACCAGTTGTTGTAAAAGTTTCCCATGATTTCTACACTCATACCTTTTTCTGGTGTTGTCATGCCAGTTTTTGGGTTATCCTTGAAGTGCCTCAGAAGAGCATCACCTGGCAGCACTCTGCAATGCTGTTGCTATTTTGACACTAATATGTGGTGTACATGGACTTGTTTATAAATAGACAATTTGTTTTGCTGGAAGTTAATGGTTCTGACTGCTTATTATCCASTATTTTGCCCAGATACTCTGCTTGTCAGGCATTAAAGGGACAGTTCACAAGTCTTACAWAGCTGTGAGAATTTGTGTCTTTTTACTTGAACTGTGATGATACMAATACAATTTACTTGATTCTACAGWAAAATGATGAACAAAGGAARGTAYCCTTGTCCTGCCAGCCAMATCTCCAGGGMTGCAGGGAATTGCAGGAAGGTGCTGTTTGCTACTTGGTCACCAYTTGACTAGAATTCCCAGGGTGCTCCTGCAGCCCCCAGCCTGTGCAAGGCAGCTCTGGAGCCCYTGTGAAATGGATGGTTATCTTGGCTAAATATTGGCTGTGTCACTCAGCCTTCTTGCTGGCTGTTTGAGCTGATTAGGTGTGCTGGGTATGTGTGCTCAGAAAGGAAGGACTGTGAGCTCTAGCACAGATGGTCACTAAGAGTGTGTAAAATGCAGCACAGTCATTCTCGAGTTTGTTCAGAGACTGGCAAAAGTACCTCTGAGCAGCTGAGTTTAACACAAAGCAGTGCTCCTCTAGTAGGTTTGCTTTCTAAAGCAAACTTTTAAAAATCTGTTTGAGGAATATCTCCATTGCAGTATGTTCTGAAGGATAGACAAACCTGGAATTGTAGCCTCATCCCTGCTTGCAAGGGAGAATCAGCTTCAGTAAGTTACACAATACGGTTGTCTTTTAAAAATATATATTTAYATATTTTACACAGCTTAGTCACTTTTGGAGTGGAAGCACAGTTTCAAGGCAGCAAAGCTATGTTCATGGCAAGGATGTGTTCATGCAGTCAGGCTTGATTTTTGTCTTGCACTACTGCAAAAAGAGACACCTCTTCATTGCCCATTAGGTCCCAACCAAGTGTTGTCCCTTTGTGTTGGTACAAATAAATGTGCAGTGCCAGGGTGAGAGGCATTGAGTGAATGATCCAGCTCAAAATTAAAACCACTTTTTAACACATATTTCCTAGTCTATGAAGAGTATTAGCATCAACATTTGTGTGTGTGTTGAAAACAAAACCTCTTCATGCATTTATGGTACCAATTAAGACCAGTTTAATCTCTGATGTATGACAAAAAATAGAAAAATGAGGGTAACTTGCATTTATCAGAAAACCATAATTATCTTCCTCCATGATCCACTGCTCTAAAGAAATTGTATCCTTTTCCCCTCCCTTCCCTGCACTGTGCACATTCTTAAACAAAGTAGGATATCAAGTCTCAGAGAAGCAGTTGCCCATCCAYTGAATCTCTGCTGCACTGAGGAACTCTGTGAGCTGAGTATTTATCCTCCAGTGTGCTCTGGCAATGCTTGAACATGTGATCAGTAAAAGTGGAGGCCAAAGCTCATTTCGGACAAAATAAAGATTTGTTATACTTGGCCTGTAATGTCTTAAAGACAAAAAAAAACTTTGCTGTTCTGTGTGAAGAGAGATRTAAATGGTGATGAATTCTGTGTATCGAGCATACAGCTCTATGAATTCAGAAGRACCCTAATCTAGAGCCCTTTGGAGGCTGATGAGAAACCTGGAAGCTGACAAGTCTGGTAAATTTACAGCAGGATTGTCAAACTTCTAACATGGGATTGTTACAAACCAGAAGATTTTTAAAGTTTTGGTTTATAACTAGCAAATACAAAATCTGCCTGCTTGTGCGATGCAGTGCAATCACTTTTGGGCAGTCCCAACCTGATCTATAGTATCCAACAATTTAAAATGGGGAGAAACTCCTTCTTCAGGCAGTTCTAGAATGAGAATTGGCAGAGATGGAATAAAGGGCAGTTGAAATTCAGCAAAAATATGAAATTGCCATACAATTTGGGAAGCTGCATCACCTTTTGTTAGTGTGGCACTTCCCAATACACATAGATTGGCTAAATCCCACATGGCAGCTAAGGGTGCTTTCTGAAGTACACAGGCAAAGTACAAATTATTGTTGRTGTTTTCCAGAGGTGAGGCTGTAAGAAACAATGCTCTTAATTGATGAGAAAAGTCCCATGAATTTTCATCAACAAAAAAAACTGAAAAGGACTTCATGCCATCTGTCAGGCAGAAAACCCAACAAAATTGACTGTGTTCCCCTATATAACACACTGGTCTGCAGCTGAGATTGCACCTCTTCAAAGACACTAGGCAAAATCATCAGTGTCTGCAGTGTGTCATTAAAGGCTCGTTTCAGACATTTTATGCTTCTTGTATTTATTTCTAGCTGCTTGTGGAATAATCCTTAAAGGCTCTTTTAAGTGGGATGTGCTGGAAGCAGGCACCGGAGCAGGGTGGGAGGCAGAGGAGAGGTTCCCAGCAGGACTTTGGCAGCCGGTGCAGGGCTGCATGTGAAGCAGAAATGCCAGTGAAGGAGGCAGGTGTGAAGGGAAAACCAGGGTGAAAAAATCTTCTATAAACTCTTGGAAAAAGGCTTCTTCAGGAATTGGTGTGAAGAAAAGTCGTGGCAACAAACGGATTGCAAATGGTCAGAATCCCCAGCGTGGCACCACAAAACTTTGCACCGATGCCTCGAGGAGGCACACAACACCTGGAGTTCTAACATGCTTTTTATCAAACGTGGCATATCAAGCATAGAGATGTGAGGGTAAAAGGCATAGCTAAGTGTCTTTTTACTTTTAAAGGGGTATTGTTTGTGATTAATCAGTGTTTTCTGCCTTATAGGCCTGCCTCGTCCCCTCAGCTCTCACACGATGATACTCATTCACGCATTGAACATTATGCTAGCAGGTATGAGACCAGCTGGGTGTTAGGCACATCTTTCTCTTAAAATTACTTTGRAAAGGAAAAATTGAGGGCTAGAGGCTACCTGAGCACTTCTTAAAGAAACATAAAATTTGGGGTTTTGCTGTCCAGGCTTTGGGATGCAAGGGCATCATCTGTGGTTGCTGTTAACCAGCCTGTCCTAATTTGCATGCCAGAGCACCTGTATGGTCAGAATTGGCATTTAGGTCCCATGGGGTCCTCGTTAAGCTGTGCACTCAGTTACTGAGATTTTAACAGGACCTGTAGTGATAGGACAAGAGGTAAWGTTTTAAACTAGAAGAGGGCAGATTCAAACTAGATGAAGGAATTTTTGCAATGAGGGTGTTGAAGCACTGGGAGCAGATTGCCCAGAGAAGTGGTGAATGCCCCATCCCTGAAAWTGCTTAAGGTCAGACTGGATGGGGCTCTGAGCCACCTGGTCTASTTGAAGATGTCCYTGCTTAGTKCAGGGGTGTTGGACTGGAGAYCTTTATAAAAAGTCCCTGYCRACCCAAACTGTTCTATGATTCTGCATAGGGTTTTTATTTTCATATGGACTGTGGTGTAATAGTCCAAATGAGAAGAGCAGAAACCTCCAAACTCTTATATGAGTCTCAGGTGTCATTRTAATGTCAATTCACCTCATGAAATACCACAAACAGGATTTTTGCTTGATTTGGAGGATTCCAATAGTGGTATATCACTGCTTTAGTTCGATTCTCTGCTTTCATACTGCTCTAAAGAATCAAAAAGTGGGTTGATTGCAAATACAAAAATGTTTTTTCCACCAAGCAAATTTTCATGGTTGAGGTTGTGAAAAATAATTATTCTGGCCTCTTTGYCTCCTCCAATATCACTTGATCAGGAGAGGTGTTTCTGAATTATGCAGGACATTTCGGAGGGGGTGAGTGTGAGAACTAATGAGAAATGACTGATCATTGCAGTTTTCATGATGACATTGCCAGGTACAAAGCAATTTGTGTAATCCCCTGGCATCTTAAGGCTTTTCTTTGATTTTGGAATTAATTAATCAAGAGAAGTTGGAATCTAACCTCAGAGAAGTTGGAATATAACCTCAGAGAAAGGGTTGGAAACYTAGAAGTGAGTTTAGCCAGGCCATTGTAACAATCAATGCCAGGCCATTGTAGCAATCAATCTTTGGCAATAGCTTATTGCAAAACCTTTTGGTAATCAACAGTGAGTGTAAAATAATTTAAGTTTCAAATTCATCAAAAACATCACGCTCCTTAATTCTTTCCAGAATGTTAGAACAAACAAAGATTCTGAAAAACATAATTGGTTTTAATGAGTCTTGTTTATTTTTCCACAGGCTAGCAGAAATGGAGAACACCAATGGTTCTTACCTAAATGACAGTATTTCACCTAATGAGAGCATGTAAGTAGGCTGTTTTCRTGGGTTTGACATGTATTTTCTAAGGGACGGATAATAACTTGTAACAAAATTTTATAGTGCTGAATTTGCATGGCCATGTGCCTCATCTGGTTCAATTTAATGATGTACTCCYGTCCCTTCAATTTGTATCATCTTATTGCCTGGATTTATGGGTTATGGCTTGATATCAAATCTATACAACAAATGATTGATGCCTTCAGAATTAAAACTACYAATTTCTTTCCAAAAATTACTGATTTATTCAGCAAATAATTCTATATTAAAAAAAATGGTTGTCATCTGATGAGTTTTAAGGACAAAGATGCCAAAAAATGCTTCTGTCTGTACTGCAAGCTTAGTCATGGTTAAATTGCTGTAACTAGAAAATGTTGGTGTGGGCAGTGTAATTCAAAACTTCAGTGAGAAAGCAGAAATCTTTGGTGTACAAATACCTGAAATTCATTGCAAGTGTAAGCCAGGAGGGACTGATCATCACCATTAAATACTAGCAGTAGCAAACTGTAAGTTGGACAGATCACTAACAAGCATTCATTGTATTACTTTAAATGTAAAGTTACAAATAWAAGTTTTKATTTTCAAGAAGTAGTTAAATCTTWATTTCACACTGASACCCTTYTGTGGCTCTCCTCTGATGATGATMWTGTTTATTTCTCTGAATGAAAGGACATAGAACCAGGAAACTAACTGTGAGTAATAGTTCTGAAGAAATRTTACAGCACAGAAGCAGCTACATCGTGGGTGTGTTTGAAAATCTGATCTTGGTTCATTAAATGTGTAGGAGAAGCCATAGCATGGATTCTAATTCAATCAGATGTGAAAACCCTCTTCTCTAAAGAAGCAGCTTCTCTAAAAGTGTTTTTATCTATGCTGCATGATGTCATCCTTACCACAGTTTAAAGGAGTGTATTTTTTGAAAATTCAAACAGAATCTAAATTTGTAGCATTCCTTTAAAACACAGAACTCAGTCCAGTTTTCATTCAGGTAAATTGAGATTCCAAATCATTAGCATTTAATGAGKTTGATTCTGAGCCTGTGAGTGTTCTTGGATAATGATAAAGTTTTTTGTTTGTTTCAAAATAGTTTCTCTTTTAATTTGGCAGGATTGTTGCCTGCAAGCTTTGAAAGCTCTACCTCCATGGTAGAGCCAAATACAGCATTTCAATATATTGGCTCAAAAAGGAGAAAGTTAAAATAACCTCAAAACTAATACCTATGCAATGTCATTATATTTTCATGCAGTTAATGAAAACTTGTTTCCAAGTTATATGTCAATTTTGTATTTTTATGGATAGTACTAATGCTATAATAGATGGAATTTTTTGTTGTCCCACTGAAATATTTCAGTGTCCTCATCACACAAATCATGCATACACAGTATCTCTTATATTGCACTCTGGTCTTACTGTTCAGTTCATTCTTTRATTAATTAGAAGCTGTACTGGCATGATTCAGTTCATAAGTTAATCAATGATGATCCAGTTTGCTACTCAGTTTGTACTATTAAAATGAGAATAGATCTGTGCATTTTGCATTTTGSAAGAAATATTATCCAGATAGATACAAATGACAGCAAAATCGAGGCTTACCATGAATGCATGACTGTAATGACTTCAGTTTTGTTTGTCAGATTATGTTTATTTGTTATTCTTGTAAGATTTGGATTATTGGGCTAATCAGTTCAGGTAGAGTGATAGATGGAAGCAAGGAGGGAGGGAAATAAAAACCACAGCATATATATATATATATATATATATATATATATATATATATATATATATCACAATTTTTTTCAATGTGTTGTGTCACTGCATGATGTATAAAATATCTGTGCATGGTGAAAATCACACAAAAATAGTATGCTTGTAAAGTGACATTTTTCTGCAATAGTTATGTCACTTGTTCACTATTAATTCACTTAAGATCCGTAAGAATATTTATAAATGCAAAGCAGTGGTTTGAAGGAAATCACAGTTGAAGTGCTTCATGAAAAGTATAAATTTAGGAACTGGCAAGCCTTTCCTTTTGTGAAAAATTAATACTTCTCTTTTATGAACTAATGTTAATGTGCTCTACATTGCTTTGGCACTCCTGCAGTCATAAAATRGCATCATTAACATTTTCAGGAACAAAATGAAAACAAGGAAAATTATAATTTTTGAACAATAACAGCTGTTCAAAATGCCTGTTAAATTCTGTTTTAGAAATATAACAGAAAAAAACCTAGACTGAATTATGTTACACGAGATCTCCACCACAGTGTCATTTTTAATGACCCAGTCTCATGGTGTGAAGGGAATCCTTTCATGGCTTCTCAGTTACTGCTGTTGGAAGTTGCATTTGGGGCTTGGATGCATCTCCTTAGCACCTAAACCACACCTAAAACAATCCATGTAGTTCTGGGAAGTGATCAGGGTCTTCAGAATTATGTTTGTTTTTCTCTTCCAGAGATATTTCTGTTTCAGATACCAGACAGCTTCGGGGGCAATAGAAATAAAGAAAGAGATCATATGTATTAAACAATATATTTGTATTCTGACTGTGTACATCACTTCTAAATTGAAAAAAAAAAAAAAAAAAACAAACACCTGAGTGAAAAATAGCATACTTTCATTATATTAGTTCAAGGGTCTTGTTGTTTACCTCATTTAGAATTTTATAGAGGAAAAAAATATAAATAAGGCACATTCTTATTATATAAGAAGAATTTGTAGGTTACAAAAATAAATGCATTGCCCTTGCCTGATTGACCCTTCCACAATTCAGATCAGGCATCAGAAGATTGCTTTCTTCCCCAAGAAAATTCCTAATTAAAATTTGTCAGAAGGGGAAAGCTGAGGCTGTCAGCTGTTGCAAAACTTGGCTTTAAGTACCTGAGAAGCAGAGAAGGAGGGAAGTGGTCTCTGCAGAGAAGGAAAATTACCAGAGATTCAGTGGAACAGGTCAGCAGATTTTGCTTCAAGGTGCATTGCTCTGCTGTTGGTTACAAAGAGTTCAGCAAATCTCTTTGTAAGAAATGAGAGACTGGGAGTGAATCATCTCCTCATGTTCACTGTGAAGTTAAAAAGAAGGAAGGGAACAGCCTGTTTTATCCTCCCCTGTTTTCCAGTGATGATGAACACTTGTTAATCCAGCACTACTGCCAAAGTCTGAACCAGGAATCTCCCCTGAGCCAGCCCCGAAGCCCTGCCCAGATCCTGATTTCTCTGGAGAGTGAGGAAAGAGGGGAACTGGAGAGAATCCTCGCAGACCTGGAGGAGGAAAACAGGTGGGTTACACCACCAGCTGCTGAWTTTGAAGTAAAAAGTCTGCAAAATAACTATACTGTACAGTTCGATGGAATTCAGTTTGGTAGCATTTTTAGGGATAAAATGCTGCATTATTTTAGGGATAAAGCTGCATTTTCTTCTGAAAAATAAGTAATYTCATAGTGGGCAAAAGTTGTGTCCSCTTTTCTTTCTCTTTGTTTGGTAATGCTTCTGGCCATTTCTGTAGTCTTTCAATACAAAGTATCATTTGCTRCTTCTAATTTCAAATTTAATTGATGTTATCTTCATTAATCACCATTAAAAAAAAAAAAACCTGATTAAATACTTGAGGCATCTCCTGCAGTCTTCTTTACACAGCACTCTGGAATCATACGCCATCAGCACAAAAACCAGGAGATCTTGACACTGGAAGATTTGTAATTGCAACTGTGAACTACCAAAACCAGACTGTAAGATATGAATTACTTTTCTRTCAAAAATACATGGTTTTGTTTGTCTTCTACTATCTTCAGCTTTTATAGTACAGTCTATTGACATTTTCATGCTCTTTTTTTCTTGCTTCTGTAAGAGCTAAGTATTTCTGCTTACATTGAGGGTTTAATGCACTAATCATTTACCTTAGGCATGTCAAGGAAATAATGCAAGAGTTGGCAGTGYCATAGATCTTCTCTCCATGTGTAAGTCTTCTTTGGATGGTGYTAATCAATTACAGTGGCTCCATCACAGACTTCTTTTATCAGGAGGATTTTGGATAATGCAGAAGATTGTGGGCATCAAGAATGAGGAAAATGCTTCACACAGAAAGCTGTAGTAAACAAAGCTCTTGCTCACTGAACAGCACGGAGAGTCAGTTTGAAACAAACCTCAAACTTCCTACTACATAGTACATAAAGCTCAGGTACTTTCCAAAGTGGAGAAAAATCAGTATTTTGAAACAAGGCATCATGCTTTGCATGTTCAGGACTGTAGCTAAAAAATATCCAGTAACTAATACAGATAAGATAGCTTAATTTTCAGGAGATGGGTTTTATTTTTTTATGTAGTGAGTCATGGAAGAAGAAAAMAATCATAATGCTTTTCTCTCTGAATATGAAATAAACAGCCTAACAGAAAAAGGGGTGGCTTTTAAAGCAGACTAGTTTTAGATTAGAAAGGTAGTGTATGAAAACTAGTATAATATGGAGCTAGATAGMTAAATAATCTAAAAAGCCCTTTGAGAATTTATGCCTTAAATTTCTGCATGGACTTTATTTAATTTAGCAGTTACTGATGAGGGATGGTAAAAAATCTCTGGCATAAATTACACCTTAAAAATATGTGTTTTGAAGTTTGCCAGTCCTGGATTAAACTAGAGCTGTAGACTGTAAGCTTGTTTTTCTCATTGGTACTGCTGGAGGTACAGTTATGGATGGGATACCACGAGAGGCAGCTTCACCTTTTTTATGGGTGCTTTAGGTCTCGACACAACAGGGACAGAGCTCTCTCAGCATGGAGGTCACACTCCTCTGATTTTCATTGATTATGACAAAATCATGACTTTCGTCTCTGCAAACTGCTATAAATAAGTTGCATGTAAAATGTAAGRTAGCTGCTGAAAAGTGAACAAGTTCTTGTCCTGGTTGCTTGTCACAGCCAGATAACCATGATTTTATGGATGAAGCACTGATTCCTGTTCAGAAAAATAAACTATTCAGACAGGGTCAGTCAGGAGCCATTAATATAACTTACCTGCTTCTAAAAGCAGTCTTKTCCCTTTAGATTTCTGTTTCTTAGTCATTCTCCTCTCTCAAGTTTGTGCAAACCCTTTTTGGCTGTTGCCAAAGGTAATCAGCAACCTGACACCTAATTCCTTGTGTGAACCTGGTTCCAGTGAGTGAACACATCTTCCTAAAATGCTYTCCATGTAAACTTTTGTTACTGCCTCATGATGAATACGTTCCTTTGTTTCTGGGGGGCATCTCCCTGCCAGTGCTGAGCTGGATGTGGTGCACAAGTCATCCTTTCCTGCCTGTGTTGACATAACTCCTGTTGCATACACTTGTGATCACTTCTGATAACTCAGRTCCAGCCCTCTGTGCTGTACCTTGTACACTTTTTGTACCTTGTTCACTCTCACAGTCAGAGTGAGATCATGCAGTCACTTTGCAGCAGCTCCTGGGAAAGCAGCCACAAGTACCAAGAAGAAGCAGTGCCGTGATATTGGGGCACCTCATTGTCATTTCTCTTTCTCTTCTGTTCTCCAGTTTTCTGCTTTTCAAAAAAGCCCTTTTCTCRTTTGCTTTGTCTCTTTTGAGCTGTTTATTGAATTCTGACCTCCATTTGGGTTTCAGCTGCAGTTTCTGGCCTCCAAATGTTTCCATCTTCCATCTTTTCTAAATGAAAAAGGCTCTTTGAAATTGTAATTCTGAGGTTTTGCTTTTGGATAGTTCGAAAAGCTCTGTTGCCTATTTTGAATTCTTCTGAAATGCATTCTCTAAGTTACAAACTAACTTAGCTGTGACATGGTTCTGAGTGGGGTTTTGTCAGTTCCAAGGACCTCWTGTTAGTTATTCATTATTTATCTGCTAGCATTTTCAGACCTTGGTGCTTCTGTAGCTTGTAACTATGACTTCYTTAAATAATGTATGGCTAAGATTTGACTGCTAAATAATTTACATTTGTTAAAATGTGAGCATTTTAGAGAATATTTTCAATGGCTGAAAATGTTTTATTTGAGTTTTAGGTCTTCAGGCTTATGCTGAGTTTTGCATCGCATGGAATATTGTGATAAGACAGTTTCTGTATTCAACAGACAACAAGCAATCTTGCTATGGAAAGCATTATTAACTGTATTGCAATATAAATGAAAAAAGCAATTATAAAACCCTCTCAAAAACAATTTACTCAAGAGTGAATGCGTTTCAGAGAGAGAGAAGACAAGTTTTTGTTGTCCATCTAAAGCAGTACATTTCATAGGTTGTACAGTGAGATAGGTAATACTGACTGGGGTGTACTGTAGTAGCATTAAATAGAAAGCTTGTCATTCTTCAGTGACAGAGTCAAAACTTTTTGCAAAGAATTAAAACACATTCCTACTAGTTTAATGAGTCAGGAAAGTGAATGTTTCCTAGTATTTTAGTTGAATCAAGGTGTYTGTCCTCTTTATCCTGTAACAAGAACTGAGACCTCCAGCCAGAGCTGTTTGCCATTCCTTTGCCTTTTGTGACTTGCAGTGGGAGTGCAGTGGGCTGTGTGCCACCAGAGAAGCACTGACACCCTGAATCTCAAAGCTGCCCTGTTTCTGGGTAGCTGTGCTGTTACTTCAGATCTGAAGACTGATGAATGGCCTCCTCACATAAGTTCCTTCTGTATAGTTGCCAACAGCAAGCAAGTGATGCATTTCTAAACATGCTGTGGCTCCTTTTAGTATTTGTTTTGGCATTGAAGAAGGGGAACTAGATCTTCTGAGTGTGAAGCATCGTGAGTAAACAGTCACTCTAGGAGGGACAGGGGTAGGTGGTTCAGTTACCATCTTTGTTTCTTCAGACCACTGATTTTCTGTAGGGAGATAGGAAATAACATGAATTCACAAATTCTCAATTGCCTTTGAGAGGACTACTCAGCAAACAGGGTCCACTAGGATTTCTRTCACCAGGCAATTAATGCTGCCAGTGATAGATGTGATTAATAATTCATGTACTCTTTACTACTCAGCTCTTTACAGTTGCRTAAATCAAGGTTACACTGCATCCTTCCTATGTTACTTTTCTTCACAAATGCCTCAAGGAGATGCAAGCATTGTAAATGGAATATATGAGGTTTGTTATTTTTTAAATATTCTCTTACTGAAGGTGGGTTCATTTTCCCAGTGATGAGTAGATGCAGCAGCACTGTTTGTTTGTCACAGCCAGATGTCAAAGTCTCCAACCTGAGCTATGTTGCAGGAAGGTGAGGTTTCCAAGTACTGCCCATGCTTGCTCAGTTCATTCGTTTACAGAGGAGCATGGTTTTGTCTCCCCTTTTTTTTATGTTCCATTTTATGCTGGAGGTGTCAGAGGGTGCCTTTCCTCAGGACCTGAGGGCTGTGGGCAGTGCCTTGGGTGCCTGGCTCATGGCAGCCCTTTCCACCACACAGCTTAAAACTGTTCCAGAGGGAGGAATAACAGCCATTTGTTCTCTTTTAGGATATTCTTACAGCAGGTTTGAAATTCTTCTCCTTTTTGAGTTTTCAGCTTTTTTTTCCATTATGTTAACACATCTCTTCATTGTTGTTTGTATAAATCCCAGTTACTATGATATTGTTGTTCGTGTGCACTCCACATCACTCTTACAGCTCTTAAGCAATGATGAATCTCAGTTCTCTGGACTAAGGACTGTGTAGCTGGACTGAAAAGGTGCAGCTGGAAAACTCAGTAATACAGGTGCACTGGGCAAACCCACCTKAATCTTTCAAAATGGCATTCCTTTGTTCCAACAATATTACAATATTTAATAACAGAACTCCCAAATCCAGACATASCTCTAGCTGGAAAATATGCAATATCTTTTAAGTTTGTTGTTGTTTTGGTTTTTTTTCTGTAGGCTTTCATATAGATTTTTTAATTATTTTTTTATCAGACATGAAAGGATTTTTATCTGAATTACTCCCTAGTCCTTACTTGTATTTCAATACCATAAAAACTGGAAGGACTCCTCTATATTGATAGAGGCAATAATTGCAGATTTCTTTGTAGCAAGGTATCTGATTGTGCTGTAAGTATGACCAAGTGCATTTGTTTCGTTTCCCATAGGGTGATGTTTTATCTTTTGCTTTACAGCACTTCAAACTTTTGAGTCTGTTGCTCCTAGAATATCATCTGTATTGTACACCTGGGAAATTCCTCATGGGGTAGTGATAGCCAYTGTCTACAGATCTTGTGAAAAGCAAGCTTAATGATCATTCCTGGATAAACTGTAGTCGACAGTAACACCATGTGTAATACTGTTGTCATGTTCATGACTATTCCCTTTTGTATTTTTATTAATTATTCACGAGTTTGTTCAGCTAGAAGTATCAAAAGACATTAATTCATATGGTAGGCATAACTTATAGGACTATATCTATATCCAGTATAGATAGCTAGGTTATAGGACTACATCTATACCCAGTATAGATAGCTAGGTTTTCTACATGATTTTCATAAACTTGAAACTCTGTATTTCACTTAAACAAAAAAATTCATTTGAAAAAACCTCTCTGTAGTTGTCCCACTTCATGTGGGTTTTAGAGAAAGAAATCTTGAATTTTGGAACAGTCTGAAGTTAAGAACGATCAGCCCTTTGTTTTAATCATGTAAAACTAATGCAGAGGAGGGATTATGTATGTCAGACATCCCTTAGGGATTGTTTTGTGGGGGCTCTCACAGTCCCAGGTTAGGATGTGTCCATTGTGCAGCTGCTGAGGAGCACAGGGACCTTTGAAGAACAGTCAGTGGCTTATCTTTGTCTTTGGAATTCCTTTCTCACCCATGTGAAATAACTAGTCCTGCTTCAGTTCATGGTCAGGTCACAACAATGTGCTTTCAGAAGTGCCTTTTTTGGGAGGTTTCCGAGGTGCTGTTAAGCTTCCAGACCAAACTGTCAGAGTGTGTTGTGGTTTGCAGGCAGAACTGGCAAAAGGTGTCTGTTCTCACAACCTCAAATACGAGCGAGTTGGAAAAAGTAAAATCTGGGTCACTGCTTGTGATGAGTAAGCAGTTACCAGAGCATCGAGCAGCTTTTCCCCCTCTGGGAAGCTGTAAAAGAACATCATAGCAACAAAATCCCAATGCAGTTTGTTAGGCCTCCCTTGCCTATGAAGTTTCTGCTACAAGTTACTATTTTTGTGGTTTTGGACTGTTATCTCTAACAAGGTTTCTGTTTCTTACCTTCTGTGCTTTCCCTGCTCAGTAGACATTTTTTCTCATGTGGGACACTATAGATCATATTAATCTACGGAGTGTTTTACTGGAGTAAAATTGAAGTTTTATGGAACAAAAGAGCAAGCTTTGCAGCTCCATAAAGTTATAGTAGACAGCAGCACTCTAGGCAGGACAATGAAGATGGAAATTATAGCCCCAAAAGTGAGTGCAGTTCAGTTTAACAGACTGGATCACTACTTTGTCTTCTTCTCATCTTAAGCTGATAATTTTAACCCTAGTCTGGAAATGTTTTTGCAGCTAGGAGGAGAGTGATATGACCTGACTGACAGCAGCTGAATTCTGTGTTTTGCTCTGACTTTTTGTGTGGCTGCCTCTCTCAGGTTTCTCACCTGTAAAACAGACAGGCTGGCCAGGT